CTTCAAAAACAAATAAGCGTCATACAAACGTTTTTACCCTTTTTAAATCCCTTCGGGGTGGGATTTCCAAAAATTCGTACGGAGGAATGTACCCTCCAATTTTCAAGTCTCTGTGACTAGCGTCTCTGTAACTAAATAAATGATTGTTTGTGAGTGAACATTGAAACAATGTAAGCGTCTAAGAATTTGCTCACTCAAATTTTATAGGTGCAAACCAATTATACTACTTATTTAAAATGTATATGAAGTCAAAATATTTTTTTTATTCTATTCTATTCTAAATCTTCCTTAGAACATATTGATTTCTTATATTTTCATAAATGAAACAACTTTTAAATGATTACATCGCGTTTGTATCCACACAGCTATGCTGATTCATGTTATTCCGACCTTAGTTTATTTTTTCTAAACGAACTTGAGCGTCTTCAGAATTTATGTAAATGTTTCATCTTTGATCTACGTAAGTATGATCATATCTCTGTACCGAACCCACCTTTGATGGCTACCTTTATTTGATGGAAGAGACTATTCACATCTTGCCATTTCCATTTTAGCAAAATACCAGCATTATCTCATAGAACGCTTCATTTTATTTTTCTTATCATGTCCGAGATTTGAGCTCTTCCCATAACTTTTCCTTAGCTCTACCTTCCTATTAGGTACTACTGATTATGTGACCATGTCCTTTTAGGTCAGAACTCTTCTTCCTGAAATAGTATATGTTCTATGTTTGATTTTTTATATCTATTTTATCTAACTTTTCGCCAGCGGATGTCAGCGTACAGATAGCGGAAAGTGTGCTTACTCTTGTTCATATGATTACCTAAAAAAACAAAAAATAGAATAGAGTTTCTTATATAAAGAGTCTTCACTCTTCTTTTTAATGCGCTAGCCTCCAGTTATAAAACTTAAAAATGTTCTAAAGAATATAAAAACAACTTTTAAACGGTTTCATCGCATTGTATTTAGTTTTATTGACGTTAACCCTCTATGGGTTTCGTGTACACATAAGACTAAGGTGTTGACTGTTTTTTTTAACGAGCTACCTTTGAAAAACCAATACTATTGGACACATTCATAATACAAAAAAAATACATATTTTATGACAACGTTTACATTTATATAATTAAATTACATTATTTTAAAAATACATTTGACTTATTTATTTACCTCTGGCTCGGTAATCTACAATAGGTGATACAGGAGAGCCCATTGCCTTACATCGGGCTACCTTCTATAGAATGGTGAATTCTATTAACAAGTAGATGGTGTGACGATGGGCTCTCCTGTATTACCCATAGTCGCCGATGCTTTCATGAAGGACTTGTGGTGGGCCCTACGCACAGCACCTCTCCAACCCAGACTGTATAAACGGTACATAGATTAATAATACTATTTTACCAACTGATAAAGTTTCTCCTTTCTTAAACCATCTTAATTCTATAAACTCTAAGATCCACTTTATTGTGGAATTAGAGGCAGACAATAAACTAGTCTTCTTAAATATACATAATATTATTCATTAGTAATCCTGCGATAAAAGTTTGAACTATACTGTGTATCGTAAAGTAACACATACTGATGGCTACCTCAGTGGGGACTCACACCATCATCCTAAACAGTCAGATACCGTAGGGAACTCTTTGTTTGGTTATTGAAGGTAGTTACAATTTTAATTAAAAAGGCAATCAACACCTTAGTCTTATGTGAACACGGTACCTGTAAAGGAATCGAAACGTCAATAAACTAAATACAATGCGATGAAACCGTTTAAAAGTTGTTTTTATATTCTTTAGAACATTTTTAAGTTTTATAACTGGAGGCTAGCGCATTAAAAAGAAGAGTGAAGACTCTTTATATAAGAAACTCTATTCTATTTTTTGTTTTTTTAGGTAATCATATGAACAAGAGTAAGCACACTTTCCGCTATCTGTACGCTGACATCCGCTGGCGAAAAGTTAGATAAAATAGATATAAAAAATCAAACATAGAACATATACTATTTCAGGAAGAAGAGTTCTGACCTAAAAGGACATGGTCGCATAATCAGTAGTACCTAATAGGAAGGTAGAGCTAAGGAAAAGTTATGGGAAGAGCTCAAATCTCGGACATGATAAGAAAAATAAAATGAAGCGTTCTATGAGATAATGCTGGTATTTTGCTAAAATGGAAATGGCAAGATGTGAATAGTCTCTTCCATCAAATAAAGGTAGCCATCAAAGGTGGGTTCGGTACAGAGATATGATCATACTTACGTAATTCAAAGATGAAACACTTACATAAATTCTGAAGACGCTCAAGTTCGTTTAGAAAAAATAAACTAAGGTCGGAATAACATGAATCAGCATAGCTATGTGGGAGAAACATAGATTGCGTAAGAGTGATATTTGCTTTATTTACTTGGTTAAATATTTTTAAGTCGTTTGAGCGAACTCCTTGATTATAATTAAATTTGTTATTTTTTTTAACATAGTCATAACATTGTATATGGTCGCCATTTCAATGGTCGCTTGTAGTGTTTTTTAATTTCTGCTGCCCTGTACTAATAGCTTCCGAAATTAATTTTGCCTGAGATTTTTCTGGGTTGACTCTGAGACCACAAAATAACTAGATATTTTGTGATTAGACTGTGTCATCTACTCCAATCTGAAATATTTTAAAGATCTTCGTTGGTCCTTCTATAGAAGTTTGAGTATAAAGGTAAACATCTGCATATTTATACGTGATAAGAAAGACATACTCGTAAGGAAAGGCAATAGAATTAACGAAGCAACAAAATAGGAGAGGGCTTCCACTAGATGGTGACTCTAACATAACTGATTTTTGCAGGAAACGAATGAACTGAAGATAGCCATTTCCGTTGCTTTCAACTAACATATTAAAAAACTGAAATTTGCAAAGTTCGAAACTTAGATATCAACACAAATACGAAATAGCTCAAACAGAATTTGAGTTGTTTATTGAGTTTTTAAAACTAATTTACTTTTATACATGAAAGAAAACCGGAAGGGTTGTCATGGAGAAATTAAGAAAGTACTGTAGCAACATCTAGTTTGATTTCAGAAACTAATATTTTTTATTTACTTTGAACTTTCATTCTTTGCTATATTAACGTCACAGCGTTAGAATTTAAAATATATTACGGAAATATGAGTTTGTAATCTCAACAGGATCCATAAATTTCAAAAACCGATTTTATATTGGAAACAGTGGCGGACTAAGGGTGACGGGGTGGTCCACTTCAGACCTTTTGTCCTGGAGGGCCTCCAAATGGCAAGTTCCCTTTATAAATTGAGGTCGTACTGCCTTATCTATCCTATGTCCAACTCTACTCTATTATTCTCTACTCTATTATTATTTTTTAAGGTTGAAATAAAAATGTAATAGACTAATTGACCGTTTTGTGTAACTTTATTTGCTATTGACTGTACCTATTCAATGTTAAGTGGATTTGTTTATTGGATTATCTCATTGCGTGAGTCATAAAGAATATAAAACGACTCCTTTTTTGTCAGAGGTTACAGTTAATGACAATAATTTATTCTAAAATTTGATATGTTTAACAACACCATATCAATAATTTATTTAAATATGAAAAAGTGTCTTGCTTCTTTTAATCTACAAAACTACAATAAACATGGGCAACCTTGACAGTTATCTTATGTATAATATTTAGCGATTAGGATTTCGCTAGCTCGACATTGCGTGTGTCGTGTATTAATTTTTAACTACGAACGACACTTTGTCACGAAAGCGCGACTCGGCCGAGCCCACTTCCGAACGCAGCGCAGTCTGCTCGGTGTCATTGCCCGCGCTGTCAAATTAAGAAAAAAAAATGTTTGACGACGAAGAGAACCGGAAGAAAACTTTTTTGGGATTTGATTTTAGTACTCAAAGGGTGAGTGAATAATTTGATTTAATCCTAAATTATTCTGTTGAATATTATAACAAAATCCTGCAGTGAGTTTTTTTTTTTTATCTAAAATGAATAAAGATATACAATTTAATTAGCTTAGCACTTGTAAACACACTGTAATATACTAAATTAAAATTTATTTCGAATAGTAACATTTTAAAATTTTATTGATTTAATTATGTCTGAATTAAAAATAACGCACTTGAATTTACAATTTAGTTATATCTTAACTAAATTACAAATTTAAAACATTATATTTTTATTATTTTTACGTATAATATCGGTGAATATTATATTTAATTATACAAGTAATGATTATGTAGGTATTTTAATGAAGTAGCATTAATTTTATCCAAGTGTCTAGCCTAATTTGCACACAATGATTCATGTTCACACACTCTCTTTCTGAAGGTCAATATAAATATTACTTCTAATATAGACACATAATTATTTTATATAAAGTATGCACTGGCTTATAAATATTTTTTATTTCACTTAACTGTAAATTATTTTATTTTATTATAGCTGAAAGCAATAGTAATAGGCGAAAATTATGAAGTATTGCACGAGGCCCAAGTTGAGTTTGATGTTGATCTGCCCGAGTTCAGGTACCATATTATTTATATTATATTATATTTTGATTTTAAGGATATGTATTAAATGTTTGTTAATAATTTCTACTTCTTTACTATTAAAAAAGGTTTATTGTTGAAACACAGAGTTTATAGAAAGAAAGAACATTTATTGGCCTTATGTAAATATGGAATTCTACTAACATGAGAAAAGAAAAACTCAGTAATGTTGTAGGGCTGGCAGTACCTTTAATATTCTGATTTACTCTAACTCATTAATAAGGCATTAGAGAAGTAAGTAGCAGAATATATGATAGAACTGTTTCCGATATGTCAATTGAATATCCATTTTACAAGTAAAAAGTCTTATTGTCTATTAGAACTTTACTTACGTGTGGTCCTGCATTGTACATTTAAATATTCTTAAATCAATCCACATATTGATGAAAACTACATAAAAATAAGCGAGGCAGTTCAAAAGACCACAATGCACAGACAGCGAGAAGTGAATTTGTTTTATTTAATTATGACAATGTATTGTCATTTAACACACCAATAGAATGTCAAATAAATACTCAAATCAAATATTAAAATATGTAACTGTAATGGTAATTATCCAAAGGACACATGGAGGTGTATTACGTGGGGAGAATGGGGAGGTGACCGCTCCTCCACTCCTGTGGGTTAAAGCTCTCGACATGGTGATGGATCGGCTGATTGTTGCTGGGGTTGACTTCTCTGCTGTTGAAGCCATATCTGGTGCTGCACAGGTTATATACTAAAAAGTCTGTATAGAGTTATAGACTTAGATAATATCATTTTTAATTATTTAATTTTTTAGAATAAATTTAAAAAAATTGATGTTTTTATAATTGAAAACATATTTTTATTTTTTACAAGTTATTTTTTTTATATTATTTTTATTCTTTATCCATTTTTTACAAAAAGATTTAATTAAACAAATATCTATGTTACAGCAACATGGATCAGTCTGGTGGGCCCGGGATGCTGAATCACGTTTAAGTTCGTTAGCCAGCGACCACTTTTTACACACACAGCTGGCCTCTGCATTTGTTGCCAATTCACCAGTATGGATGGATTCTAGTACTACTGAAGATTGTAAAGCACTGGAGGAGGCCTTTGGAGGCCCAGAGGTAAGGTTGAATATGGCAAAAGTCATGGTCATACAAAAAGGAGGGTAACTGACCCTTTGGATTTCCGCCCTCTCTCTCCGCTGGCGCCCAGAACTCTGATTCCTCCGCCTTTTATTTATTAAAATAGGCAAAATGCAACTTAAGCCTTTAATCAGAACTCTCCAACTTCATTTTCTACATGGACCCGACCGAATCACTAACCCAAGATTTTAGAAAATCCGGGTCTTTATAATGGCGTACGAGTGGCAGCCAGATAAATGTCATTGCTATTCATAATTTAGTGTTAAAGAAATAAAAACAAAGTTTCTTTATATGGCTTCTGAAACACGAAAGGCCAATATTTGGTTACCCATCAGATGACAGCCCTATGCGATACTTGCTTAACCTTAGTAATTGCAGATCAAATGTAAACGTGTTAACCCATTGCAACATCAAGCTGTTTATAAATGAAAAAACTTAAAAACGGTATTGTTGCATTTTATTTAGTTATATTGAAGTTTCGTATCTGTTACAGGTTCCATGTTCACATAAGCCTATGTGTTGATTATCTTTTTAATGAAAAGTTTAGCTACCTTCAAAATTCAATAATTTTTTTTGGACCAATAATTGTTTCATTAATGGATATTACGGGTGAAAATAAAAACTGTTTGTTTTCACATAGTTTTACTTTTATACATAACCATTTTGATGAGTATTTGTTTTGATGATTTTGGTAGGAGCTTGCTAAAATCACTGGATCCAGAGCATATGAACGGTTCACGGGCAGCCAAATACGAAAAGTGTACCGTACTCGTCAACGAGTGTACCAGGCCACTGCAAGAATATCACTGGTATCGTCCTTTGCCTGCTCACTGTTCCTGGGAAAAATAGCACCCATAGACCTAGCCGACGGATCCGGGATGAATTTACTTGATATCCGTACTATGAAATGGGATGAGAAAGCATTAAAGGTGAGGTTGGATCGATAAATATCTTTACCTAGTGTATGTATCATCAACCCCATAAGCCCTATTTCGTATTAAAACATGTCTGTTCTCAGACTGTAGACTATCTTTGTACCAAATTTCATTTAAATTGGTTTAGTAGTTTAGTCATGATTACGTAACATACAGACAGCTCCTTTTGTAATATTATTTTATTAATAAACGATACTGCAAAAATATACTTTTGAGTCAAACGCATACCTTTTATGGATTATACTTTGATAACGATTTATCTATATCCATAGCCAAAGGGATTAATTTAATTCGCTAAATACTGAAAGATTACAATTTATTCTATTGCAGGAAAATTATATAAAAAAAAATTTTTACATTAATTTATTGATTTTCGTCATAGAAATCTTTTTTTTTATATATGAAGGTATTTTAAATCGGAATCTTCAAGTTACATCGAATAGTCACTAGATGGCGCCGCGATACATAGCTCGGAGGGAGACGATTACTCTTTAGTTCAGTAACTAGTTGCCATCAAGTGGGACCATAATCATCTTAATTCAGTCCAGATCAGGGTCTCATTTCTGCAAATTTTACGTAATCTCAATAGAATCTAAACTACTACCATTTTGCCATTGTACCATTTATCTATAGTCACATATTACGCTAATACTAGCACAATTTCCTTACAAATGTAGGATATCTGCTATAGTCATACTACAACTATATTGGATATCTACTATAGTAATACTACAACTATATTGGATATCTACTATAGTAATACTACAACTATATTGGATATCTACTATAGTAATACTACAACTATATTGGATATCTACTATAGTATTATTATAACTATATTGGATATCTACTATAGTAATACTACAACTATATTGGATATCTACTATAGTATTATTATAACTATATTGGATATCTACTATAGTAATACTACAACTATATTGGATATCTACTATAGTAATACTACAACTATATTGGATATCTACTATAGTATTATTATAACTATATTGGATATCTACTATAGTAATACTACAACTATATTGGATATCTACTATAGTAATACTACAACTATATTGGATATCTGCTATAGTAATCCCACGACTATATTATTAAACCAACCAATAAAATGTATTGTCACAATTAGGCTTGTGGTGACGATAGTTTGGAAAGTAAACTGGGCAACCCTGTGCCATCGGCTACGGACCTGGGTGCCGTATCTCTATACTTCGTGGACCGCTATGGGTTCCAATCTAAATGCAGGGTGGTGGCGTTCACCGGGGATAACTGCTCAGCATTAGCAGGTTATTAATTTGATTTTATTTATAAAGAGCTTTTTTTTTAAACAAAAATTTGTTCATTCGCTGCTATATTATGACCATTATAAGACGGTGAGTAACTCGATGGCGTAATGGATAAGCGTTGTGGTACGCGATCGTTGTTGTTAAGCAATTTTGCAAGGGTCGATCACGGGATGGGAATAATAATTCATTTATTGCATGTCACATAGTATATGGTTGTAGTTATTAGGTCCAGTTCATATGACACCCTGTAAGTAGCAAATTCAGATTACATTTTTATAAATAGTTTTACTTTCTTGAAATAAAATTAATTTCACTTGTAAATCAGTGTAAACATATGTCAATGAATTATTTGAAACTTTAAGCCATATAGCCATTTAATATAAACATCAACAAGTTATGTATATTATGTCAAGAATAAACTAAATACAATCAGATAATTATGCATGTAAACTATTATAGGGATATTATCACACTCGTATAGTTTTGTCGTTTATGAATTCTTCAACTTTTTTTTTTTTATAACAAACACTGTAAATTTTTGTCCATTTTGAATGCTTTCTGGTAATTTGTTATAAATTTTAATGGAAAAAAAATTATATCGTTTACTATGGATTTTTTTTAACGCTTTTGCATTTAAGTAGTCTCACCTAAAAATATCTATACCAAAGTATACTGACGTTATAGTAGCTAATAGTCTAGCAGTCGGCAATATTTCAAATCTTATTTTAAATAAATTATTGGGCTAATATATAACCCATAAAAATCGCATTGAATGCATGTAAAACACGATTTATAAATAACATTTGAATTTTACGCAAAAACGCGGCAGTTGGTTTTTTTTTAAGTTATGCAATTTGATTTGTGACGTAATTGTTTAAATTGACAGCCATATGACAGTTAACTAGACGTGGCGATTATAAAACAGTTAATTTATATATACAAATAATAAGATAACAATAATATTGTTAAAATATTATTTTTATTTAATTAGTAATATTATTATAAATTATTTTTAATAATATTACTTTGGATATGTTAGATCTTTTAATGGCAACTTTATCGAGATTCAATCCCGACATGATCGATTTGAAACCAGCCTATTGTCAATTTTTTTATTTTGAATATTGACGTCATTGTATTTCCTATTATTATTTGCCGTTAAGTGACAATTTAAAATCATTATTTTAAAACGTAAAAATTATTTGAATTTGGTATTTTTTAAATTACAAACAATTAAATTTTGTGATTGATTACACATCTCATATATTCTTTTTAGTCTTTAGTCAACTCGCGGATTTTAATTTTAAAGAAAATCTATAAATTAAATCATAAATTGATTTCTCGTATCAGATTATATAAAAAAAAACATGCCGAAATCTTTTGTAAACACATTTTTATCTTACCTATTCAAGTGTAGTCAAATACTCGAAAAGGCAAAGCTGCCAATATAAAGACCATTAAAATGTAATAAATTGATAAACATGTTGTAGATAACGCAAGGTCTTGTAGTAGCATGTGAAGCGTCTTATCTCAGTCTTCTGAAACGGTACACAGATATTGATAACTAATATTTATATAACGACCAATTTTTACGTTTGTTTAAAATATATCTTAATTTGAAGACCTCGGTTGAATGGTTTTCACACTATTCCAAGTGTCGCCATCTCTGAGGTTCCGGTTTTATTCTCTGTCGGGCTAATATAGAAAATGAACATTCCTTGAGTTGCGATTCCGTGTTGGAATTTCCATAATACAATTCTCTCTAATATTTAACTTGTATTACACTTAAATCAAGAATATTGTCCAAAGAAACAAAGTTAATTAATTTGTTATTTTTTACACGACTGCCCAAAAAAGGAGTGTATTGTGTTTATGGTTAATGTATATGAGTTTCTTTATTCCATCATAACTTTTAAAAGACTCAACGGAAATAAATCTATAAGGTATAATTAGAAACATTACATCATCCCGAGTAACACTGGCTATAAAATTTTTTTGAAATATTAAATATGGATATCAAATTAAAGGTCTTGATGAGTACATTCGAATAAATAAATATACTATACAATGATATTACTATAAAAACGGACTTGACGTACTAAAAATGACTCATAATATAAAATTAAAAAACACGACTACCAAAAAACAAGTTACAATATAATAAGTAATAAAAAAACAATAAATAAAACAAAAATATAATAAGTAAAAAAGACCCGTGATAATATCTCGTAGAAATGTACTATTTCTATATTTATTTGGCCGGGAATCTCAATAGATATTCTAATTTACCCAGGTTTACGTCTTCGATCCGGTTGGGTGGGCCTAAGTTTAGGGACTAGTGACACATTACTGGTGGGCTTGGACCAGCCGGCGGCGCCCACCGCCGGGCACGTGCTAGTGGGCCCCACGGCCCACGCGCCTTACATGGCGCTGCTGTGCTTCGCCAACGGATCGCTCACGCGACAGAACCATCGGGACCGACTCGCCGGGCCCAGTTGGGACTCCTTCAACGATCTGCTTAGAGCTACAGTTAGAGGAAACATGGGGTACATGGGTAAGTGAAACTCCCTCCCGAGTTGGGAGTCCAATCGATGTAAGTTTTTTTTTTCCGACTCTCAACCTTAAGGGTTCGGAACCACCTTCCCATCAACGGAGGAAGGAGGCGGTGAATCCTTCATTGGATACCCCACGGCCGGCCGTGAGGTTATGTCAGACTCCTACTGACTAAACACCGCCTTGGACTATTGGTTGCGTGCCCTGAAGGGGCAACGAACCTTCATCGGAGCGACTGCCCCCCCGCAAGGGGGGGGGGGCAACGCAGACGTCCCTATTCATTTACATAAATAGTGACATCGAGATGAGACCGTTGACCCCAGGGGGCCCGGCTCATCGGATTGAAATAGATGTAAGTTTTAAGTTGTATATGCTATATATCAGTTGCGGCGAATCTTAATCAGCGCGATGCAGGTATTGCAGTGGCATCTCGTTACTATTCAGTGTTACTTTAAGCTTTCGCTTACCGTCGATTATTGTTGTTGCGATGTTAGCGTGATGAGATAGATGTCGCCACAAAGTATTTTTCATAAAATTCGTGATTGATTGGTGGCAGGCATCTACTACGATACCGCGGAGATATTGCCACGCGCTTCGGCCGGCCGATGGTTGTGGGACTCTCAGGGGCGCGCTATAGAGAAGCTCGCAGCGCAGTTCGAGGCCCGCGCCCTCCTGGAGGGTCAGGCCCTCGCCCGCCGCGCACACGCCGCCCACTTGGGACTCATCATAGGTACGTGTGGGACTACCTCCACCGGCTCTATTATAGTCCTCTCCCGACATACACATGGGACTTACAGTAGTTACGTGCGGGACTACCCTCTACCAGCCCTATTAGAGTACTCTTCTGCCATACACATTTGACTAACAGTAGGTACGTGCGGGACTACCTTCAACCGGCCCTATTATAGTCTTCTCTCGACAAGCACATGGGACTTACAGTAGGTACGTGCGGGACTACCTCCACCGGGCCCTATTATAATACTCTCCCGACACGCAACATGGGACTTACATTAGGTACAATTTAAATACACATATAATAAAAATAGCTATGGTTCTAGATTCATCATCTCGCGTAGTGGCGACGGGCGGCGCGTCCGTCAACAAAGAACTGTTGCAGATATTCGCGGATGTATTCAACGCACCAGTCTATATACAAGTAAGTAACATTGCATTACTGTATACGCTAATAATGATTTAATTACTCCAATTAATTCTCCAATATTGATGATGTAAGAAATTGACCGTATTATGTATATTATATACCGGGTTATTTGTTAATCACTAGCAATGTCACAAGTCTAGATGACTACATCATAACGTTAAGTCTATGAGTTTGAACATCACTGAATAGTTAGTGCAAAATTATTTTTTTCCGGTTTTTAATGCTATAGTGAAAGACACTTTATCTAAATATCAAAAGTCATAGAACAAGCAATGTTGTGTATGATTAATTGTAAAGAACCCGTTCGTTGTAGTAAGCCGCTATTAGAACAATTTAGGCATTCCACGTATCTATATTAGCCAGCGTTTCGGTCGAGTTACATCGACCGTTCTCACGTTTCATCGCGATAATTCAGTAACTCGAAGGCCTACTCTGTTTCTCCGAAAACAAAAATTTGTCTATTTTCGAAACCCTAATACGATTCTAAAGGAACACATTTTCCGACGATTAATAATGAAACGGAGGTAGGACACTGCTTCTGATCCTCAGATAATATTGACGCCTATGATTTTTTTTAAATTGTAAGAATGATACGAAATTTTTGTAATTTTCGTTCGGAGAAAAAACAGAGTAGCCCCTCTGTTTTTTCGTTCGTTCGTCGCAATGCAAACCGAAAGTTCAAAAGATGTTCATGATTATTATATTTGATCAATTGTGCATTCATAATGCTATACTATAGAAAGGGCACAGTTTACGATAGGTGGATCCGAGTTCCACTTCTGGTTGCCTGGGGTTGGCGAATCTTAACACATTTTTCATTCAAAGTAGTTGTTTGTGATGTTAGATATCTAGTCCTTTTGGGTTGCAACTGATGCCCGGGTGCGATGATGATCTTTCTATGAGGTAAAAATTTGATATCGCGCCCATGCATTCCCCCCTTCCCGGTCCGTCGTATCTCAAGACATTTTTGTGAAGCTCATTCTTTTTTTTTACTGTATAATATCACGACAAGCTTTCGCCAGCGAATTCGCTGCGTGGTCCCTAGGAAAATGTTTAGTGGGATAAAAATAGTGTCCTATTATCCAAGTCCGTTAATACACTATCTGTATACCAAATTCACCAAAATCCGTTCAGTAGTTTCGGCGTGATTGACGGACTAACATCCGAACAAATAAACTTTCAAATTTATTATATTAATAGGATTTTGGCGCCTCCTGACTCTGGCGCCCGGGTCCCACTAGCCCACCTAGATCCAGTCCTGGATTTAGAAGAAAACTATCAAACTGGCTTAAAATTAAATGTTTCTACTCAGTCAAGGAGTATTTAAATAGTAAGATTGACATACAATAAATATTGACTAACCTGTAATTGACATTTTTATTTCTATTTTTATTAATTGAATTTCACGGACATTGTGTTTGAAAGTATCTGATATTAGTTTTCTATTTTGAAATTATTGTAACATTTTAATTTGTTTGACATTATGTGAATGATAATGATATAATTTAATTAATTAATTGTTAATTTAATTAATTGTTTGATAATTATACTTGTATGATGTGATTTTATAATCAATATATTTGCATGCTATTGTTGATGGCTAAATGGGCTGGACTCATTAATATTGTATTTCTACCTATGATGTACCTCATTTAAAGGCAAATAAATATTATTATTATTATTATTACAAATAACCCTGTATATGCTTATCTCGTTTAGGAGGAGCACGCTAACGCAGCGTTACTGGGCGCTGCAATACGAGCCGCCGATGTATGGAGCGATGACGCCGGCATCAAACTACCAGGTGAGTACTTATTACTGCTCAAAAGAAAACTGTTGCTTCCTGTTCAAAAATAAAATACTCAATTTACACTCTACGATTTAGTGGGAAAGATCGGATCGGTACCTTTGAAATTTGGTACTAGAGAAGAATGGACTAAATAAAATACAATTAATATTCTTAATGTAAAAAGCTTAAACTTCAAAAACCAACTCTGAGATGGGATTTTTTAAACATGTTTCGTTAAGAATATTTTCCAGTATAGCATTGTGAATGCAAAATTGTTCAATATAATAAAAATTACATTCCAGTATACCACTACATAATAAGTTTACTTCAATTATTTTAGTTGAAAACACATTTTGATAAGATAAAACTAGCGAGCTGGGTAGTGACCGTCTAACTCTCTCCTTGAGGTTAGAGCTATAAAAATGTTCTTTTAGTAAAATCAATGAATATGTTTATATCTTTTTATAATGTTCTTTATATATTTATTACATATTTATTCAATTAAATATTTACTACAAACGAAATTAAATATTTTAGTTGTACTTTTCTGAATTAGGTATTTAAGTTTGACTATAAAAGTGAACTGAAAATGTTTGATTAAATATCAATCAATCAATCATCAGCCCTTTTACGTCCCCATTGCAGGGGCTCAGGCCTTCCTTATGAATGGTTAAGGAGGATGGGCCATGACCCTCCACGCTGGCCCAATGCGGATTGGAGGGTATTAACGACTGCAAATGCAGCTGGGACCAACGGCTTAACGTGCCTTCCGAATAATTTTTTGGTCACCCATCCCGTGACCGACCCTTGCAAAAGTTGCTTAACAACAACGATCGCGGGCCGCGGCGCTTATCCTCTACGCCACCGAGCTACTTGATTAAATATATAAATAATTAAAAAAAATATTATGAAAGAATATTAAAAGTATAATATCAATCAAGCGTTTTATATATAAGCTATCGAGAAAATGTCTCTTATTATTTCTAACAGTCTTAATTATTATTATTTATTCCTCTAACAGGTGCAGATCCGAAAATGACGCCAGTGGCGACTCCATACTCTGATCACGAAAAAATATACGGACCAATGCTTGAACGATACTGGACCCTCATAGAGAATGTTCCAAAACTGGACGCGGACACCAAGTAGATACAATACGAACTTATTATGTTCACACAAGGACTAAAGGGATTAAAAGGACTAAAGGGGGGACACAAGGATTATCTTACATACACACATACACGGGATTCAGGGTGTCGCTTATATACTTTGTAGTTTTTCACACCAATAGGACGTATTACTGCATTTTTTTATAGCAGATGTAGTAACCAAGGCTTTTTTCTTTTTAACTACATGTGCTGTGCTGCCATCTACCTTACGTAATACCCCCTCTTTATCGCCATTTTTCGTTACATATTGGGTATGTTCCGATATACACTGCGAGCACTGCGCAGTGCTCTTACTGCTGAAAAATCCGTTCCGTTATGGACTGCCAGTACACTGCTACAGTACCCTAGGGAAATTTATGACGTCATAAATTGCCGCCATATTTGTACTGTGAGCACTGGAGATTTCGAGGTAAGGTGCTCGCAGTGCTTTTGATCACGTGATCAGTCGAAACAGAATCAGAAAATTATAAGTTTCTAAATAAACAAAAAAATACTTACGTTTATTATAAGATGGAGTTAATTGATAAATATTTTTTTTATACACAATTTTATAATATTTTCTTTTGAAAAGAGGGAATCTTTATATTATATTCACCTTGCATTAACAAATTTGAAAATGGCGCCAAAAAATAGGATTAACAGTATACTGGACTGCGTTCCGTTATAAAAAGTCACCAGTATAACTAGCTATAAAGGAACGGGCTTCCAGTATACTAAATTGACGTCATACTGTTCAGTGGTCGCAGTGTATATCGGAACATATCCATTATAATTATCGAATGTGACTGATTTAATTTTGATGAGAGAAGACCTTTGTCCTTGTGTACTGTTTAGAAACTAATCACGCTTGTGCCTTATACAATTATTTACAAGATATTTGTAATTTATTGATAACAATAACGTTGTGTTAGTTAAACTAGAAGCTCATAGATTTGTTGTTTTGGGGGAACGAAATTGAGTGTAAATCTTTGATTAGACCCATTCTTATTTATTACATGCTGAATAAAATGAGATTTTTTACCTTATATGCAATTATAAGTAGGTATTAAAGGAGCAATTAAAAAATTATTGGTTTTCAACTGATTGCGAATTAAACGCATATGACCAGTTGCACAAACGTCCATTATGGTTTAATAACGCTTTTGAGTTTAAATGAATGTCAAATTTGTATGGGTAATGTCGCTCTAAACTAATGACAATTTTAATGGATGTTTGTACTACTAGCTGATAGTCTTTTTATATTAGGAGCCATCCATAAATTACGTCACACGTTAGGAGGGGGGGTGGGTCGACGAACTGTGACATTAGAACAATATTTAGTAGAGTTTGTATAGACGAACATGTGACAAGAGGGGTGGGGGAGGGGGTTAAAAAATCATGAATTTTGTGGACGTAATTTATGGACGGCTATCAGGCTTCCATTTTTGCAATCGATAAACTAATAAGAAATTTCACAATTTAATAGTGTTGAAATATTAGATATATACATATATATTATTTTATACATATATGCTCCTTAGGGTGTATTTACACCGTTTTGGATCACACGTTAGCAATTCAATAAAATCAGTATGTTACTGAGAATATAATGTACGTACACTTAATCCTACATTCCATTAGGTTTACGTAAATTAATATATATATATTTTTTTTTTAATATTTTTAATTTTTTAATATTTTTTTTGAATCTGAGATTGTTGTGATTGAGTTACTTAATAGATTTTACTATTTATATGCTATATTTTGTATTTTTTTTTTAATTACAGTGGTGCTTCAATAATGTGCAATACTTTTACAAACATTCCTATAGTTTTGATAATATTGTTTTTAATTAACCGATGTGCTTAGTGCGCTTTGTTGTATATTTAAATATTTTTTTTTTTATAATAAAACTTTAATTAGAACATGTTTTTTTTTTAATGTTAATAATAATAGTAGTTTGTGGTATCCGTCAGTCGTGCAGCGTCAGGCTCTTGGATTTTTATATAATATAAAATACATTTTTGCCTCAACAAGCTCCTTTATTATCTGTTTGCTAAGAAATAGGGACAATTAGTCAATTGACGTAGTTCCGGTGATAAATCGGAATTATCACTTGTTTTTTTTAATTACTTCAAATGTTCGAATAGAAACTTGTAAGATAAACTTACCACTCGGAACTTCATTTTAAACACTCCGAGAAAATTAGAACTGACAATTTTTTTGTGTTTACTTTTTGTCACTTACTATTGCTACTCTGATCATCATATTATTTCGAATCGCATAGTGAGAATCTCATAATCAACTAAGTGGGCCCAACAAGGATTGGTAGGTGTTAAAAACTGCAGATTTGCATCTGCGTGCCTTCCATAGCACGGGGGGGGGGGGGGGGGGGGTACGTAATAAATTTTGTACCATCCGGCCATTACTTATCTATTTATTATTATACTTATCTACACGAAATAAAAATAACAACTTTGGTGGTAGATAAATTTATTTCACACCCATTTTATATTCGGTAATACAAATCTGTATCATTTAGATAATAAAAATATACCAGAATATTGATAACTTTGCTAGATCTCAGAGTAAAATGTATTAAATTTCACATCTATACACTGCACATTCATTGTAGTAATTCGGACAGAACGTCACCTAAAGCTATTAATAAACAACTACTCTTACTGGATTATAGCATTTATCTTGTTATAAGAATAGTAATATTAAATTCTGAAAACTACCAATCTGATTTAACCTTTACTACCATTGTGCCTGCTAGAGGCGCAGCTGTTGAATATTGAACCAACTATAGTTTTCAGAATACTGTAAAAACAGATCTTATCTTAAAGATATTTGCAAGAAAAGTCACATATTTTTATGTAGCTTACAGATAGTCTAAACTGTATCGCGGAGGGAAAGACATTATTAGATGGATAGTGAGATAGATGTAGCATTATTTCTTTCGTCCACCGCGCTCCTTGACTTGGAGATGTATGACTGCTCCTGGCGGTACATTGTAATATGCCAGTGTATTCGTATCTTTAAAGAAGAGACCCTGAAAATTAAGTAAAAGATTTATATTTCAAGCACTGTTTATAAACTAACTGTATGGTAATATTTGAAGTTGCACGTAAGAAAGAAGTAGTAAGTAAAAGTAAGTATTTGCTAAATAATTGAGATGGCCGATCAAAGTTAATCGCAGATGGCGTTTTTTGTCGTCAGTTTTGTCATGATAAAATAGTGAAACTAATAATGATGTTTATACGTGACGTACTGACCTCGTAGTGCAACTTCTGTTTAGCGGTGGGCATGTTGGTGGCTCGCTGCAACATTCCCTTCAGTTCAGCGACTGGAGCCCCCAGCGCGATACTCAGCGGCACCACGCGGCCGTCCAATCGCCATTCAGACCGCTCCGGCAGCGACGGTAGCGCCACCTAACCACACATATCAAATAAGTATTATAAAAATATAAAAACAATAATATAATCGCATAGCTATAGGTGCACCAGAATCTGATGGCAAATTGATTATGGAAAATGAGCTAAGCATGAATTGTGGCTAAAGTCGAGAGCTCATGAAGCATCTACTACAATTGTAATAACAATACACAGAATCCAACTTGTGAGGTTGTATGAGCTCTTGATAAATAAACCTTATAAGTTATCAAATACATTTATTAATTTGGGGATTCGAATGTACAACCAGTCCCCTTCTCCCGATTTAACGATAGCACAAAGTAGAGCGTAGTGAAGTGTAGGATTATAATTGTTAAGTTCATCCGACTTCTGACGTACGGGTATGATCGATCGCACTAATGAAATAAAAGCCTTAAGACTTTGGTTGGTTTACATAAGGCAACTTTTTAGAATCTCTAAGGGGGAGGGGTAGGGGTCAGTTTATTCGAGTCTCGACGTACGGGAACGATCGATCGAGTGAATGAAATCAAAGCCTTAAGACTTTGGTTCGTTTATATTAGGCAACTTTTTAGAATCTCTAGGGCATCTCTAGCGGAGTTTATCCGAGCTTCGACGTACGGGAACGATCGATCTAGTGAACGAAGTTAAATACGGTCGGTTTACATCAGGCGATTTTTTAGAATCTCTAGGGGGGGGGGGGTTAGGGGGGCCTGCCCTTTCATGCCTTGGCAGTGTACTCACCTGCAGCGGCACGGCGCCGGGATGGCGCGCCAGCCAGGCGGCCTCGGGCTCGAGCGCGTCCTCGGTGCGGGTGCGCTTGGCGGCGGGCGCGTCCTCCTCCTCGGGGGGCGCGCCCGCCGACGCGAACCCGAACGACGGGCCCGGGCCCATGCCCACGCCCACGCCCACGCCCACCGGCGTGGGGATCAGGGGCGGCCGCGGGGCCATCGGCGGTAACACCTTAACACATAACACACAGAAATATAAGTTTATTTTTCAAAATTTGTTTATTAAATAAAGAAAAGATATTTTTTATTATAATATTCTTAATGCAAAAAGCTTAAAAAATTCGCTTTGACCCTGGTAGACTGAACTGGGATTCGAGCCCGTGACCTTTCATCATCCGGATTTATTAAACATTTTTCATTAAGAATATTTTTAAGTAAGTTGAAGTATATTTTTTCTGACTAATTTCAAAATCTATTATAATCCCTCTCAAAACCGTTATTACGATTAACTATATCATTAATTATAAAAATGCCATCCATGTATATGACTTCTTTTTTAATTTATTCCAATGCCAGAGAGGAGTGTCAACGGTTCAGTTTGGTTTAGGGTAACCTAGTTCACTTTTTATATTGAAATATCGAATCTATTTTGAATTAAAAATCTAAGTAAATTTTATTATTAGCTCCGTTTCAAATGACATATATTGAATATATATTTTTTATTATTAATTCGAAGAAGAAATAGTTTATAAGTTGCACAGTCTTTACAAAAAGTAAACCTACAGTACCCCATACTTATATGACGAACTCATAAATACATTTAAACTGTTGAATCGAAAACACACAAAATTAATATTAGTTATACTTAAGTGACATTCCGAAATTTAAAACGGCATACGCACAGTGGCTCGCGTGCAAATACGCACTGCAAACCTTATCCATAAAACCCAACTAAACCTACATTGTTTAATTCTTACATATTCATACATTAACTCAATACGAGTATTGACAGACTCATGATCATGTGAAAATTTAAAATAGTCACAAAGGGATTGTATGTGTTTGGGTTAGATTTAAGTAAAAAAAAGGTAATATTACTGAGTATTTTGATAGTTATAATTGGCTATAGTCTATTCAACTTCCTCTGAGACAAAATGTAAACAAACAAACCAATGTTTCTCAAACTTTTTTATTTATGTTGGTATGTAAATAAAATTTGTTAATTGGACAAATTATTGTATGGTAGGTATGCAATACAATAAGTCTATTTCTTTTTCAAATAGCAATTGTAAGAGTCACATAATTTTATTCAGAATCTTCCCCTTCTTCCTCTGAGGAACTAGTTGCACCAACTTCTATCACAAAACGGTCAACCAAATCATCTATGATACAATCAATTTTTAAAAAAATTTGTTCACTTTAGCACAGTTCCTACTGTTACCCTTTTTAGAGCATCGGTTAAAAAAGATTTTATTTCATTTAACTTAAAACTTAGCAATAACAGAAAACAACAAACTTAACAACTGGAATAAACAAATAACAAGAATTTAGCGAAAGCATTTTGCACGAGTCAACGAGTTGATCGAGAGTAAAAATGGCTGGTATAACCCGACTAGTTACAAAATTTCACGTTTCTACGTAAAGTATTTGTCTTATCACTACTGCTCAATTTAGTAGTATAATAATACGTCCAATGTTTGGGAACAGCTTCAATTTTAGGTGTTTTTAATGTCACTTTCTTTTTTCATTAATTCTAAATGCATTTATATTTTGACATATTAAAGAACCTTTTTCCAGTTTGTTTACATTTTGTCTCAGAGGAAGATGAATAGACTATAGCATTCAAATTTACCAACCATATTTCCTGAAGTTTACAAATGAGCAAACCTGTGAGTAGCCAACTTTTAAAACAACCTTGTTGACATTTTACTGAACTAAGTATTTAAAAAAGAAAGATAGGCATGTTGATTTCACCATCACTACATGGTATAAAACAAAGTAGCTTTCTCTGTCCCTATATCCCTATGCATGCTTAATTATGCGGTTTTTTTTTCATAAATAGGGTGATTCAAAAGGAAGGAAGACCACGCGGGCGAAGCCGCTTGCGGAAAGCTAGTGATTTATAAAAATCAAGGGAATGTTCAGATTGATATCAAACGTTTTATCGGCTGCTAAACTTAACAATGTCTAAAATAATTGGTATATTAACAGTTCAGTGGTTCTTACTATTTCGATAAAAAAAAAATGGTAACTTATAAATAAGTTACATTTCGATGTTCATGGTGACCAAAATATATAAATAATCATCATCTTGGACTGAGAAGGTAATATGGTAAACTATGGTGGAAATTGGTAAGATATTTTCAATACAGGTACATGCCGCATACTCTACTCTAAATCTCTGTGCCACAGTACAAGGGTGCTCAAAAACATATGGTCGACGGTTAACTCACCATGAGCGGGGGCAGAGGCTGCAGCAGCACGGGCGCGGGGGCGGGCGCGGCGGGCGCGGGCGGGGGCGGCGCGGGCGCGGCGGGGGCGGGCGCGGGCGCAGGGGGGCGCGGGGGCGCAGGCGCGGGACGAGGCGGGGGCGCGCGGGCCCCACCCGATACCGGCTTGGGGCCGATCTTCTCCTTCTCCTCGTCCGGCAGTAAGCCTTTCACCTGAACGTATGTTTTTAATTAAAAAAATACCTGCATTTTAACAACAGTACCTAAAGAAAGATAAGTTTATCCTCCTAATAATACAGGATTTTTTCTAAAACAGTAATAACCTGGCGGAACTGTAGCTCATATCATGTTGAAACTCGCAGACCGTACATAATTATGTCGTTCATGATGTTAGTTATCGAGAGCTGTGAGATCGGTGAAGTTTTACAAATATATATTTCCTAGTATATTTGGACATCACAAATATTTAAGTAATTAAAACCTTTGTGAAGAAAAAACGTAAAACAAAAAGTACTTGTTTTATTTTAATTAGTCACAAAATAAAAATCACGTCGAGATATGTATAGATGAAAAGATATCAATCGAACAAGACCAGAGCCATCTAACCATCTTGCTACAAAATAATAAAAAAAATGAATAACGTAAGAACAGCGCCATCTAGGAACCTGCTTCATAATAAATATTATTTCTAACGAAGTGACGTCACACTATAGCGGGTTAAAACAATACTGATTTAAGTCACATACACAGACATAACCCGAGACTTTTAATTTAACATATTAAGATAAGCATGCGATTTTATGACACAATATCAGAATAATATTTATTTCTTTGTAAGTTTTATTTTATTTTTCTGCAAATTCGTGACTTATTTTTCACTAATGAAACTACCCTATTACAAGACTCACAAATGAAAGGTTATTTATTTCGTTTCTATTTGGGCTTGCAGGTTAAATTTCGTAATATGCTTTAACACAGAAATATTTCATTTGGCCTAAGTCCCCAGTCTAAGATATTTGGGAGTAATAATACATAGCATTCAGAAACATACCTTGTGTATCTGCTGTATCTGATCCTCGAGCGTGATATGCGCTCGCGCAGCCCTGGTGGCCGCCTCCACGCTGGACGTGTGCCCGTCCCACGTGACGCGGTCATCGCGACGTTTCTCTTCTTCACCTATCTTCTTACCGATCGCAGTCTCCTCATCACCCACGCCGAAAATGTCGGTACGGCGTTCCGCGAGCTAGTATATGAAACGAATATTCAATTTATTGAAATATAGTTTTGGTACATCTATATAAAGGTTATTTTCTTGTGTGTCTGACGACGAGAGATGTAAATGTAACACAAACCAACATAAAAGCATGATTAAATATTTGTTACACTGTTTATGTGAATTAACAAATTACATAACAAAATTTAAATAGTTAGCTTTTATATACACAAAGAATAATTTTACAACTAATTGAATGTACGACATTTCTTGTCGATTAATCCTCAAGACGATATATTAACATGATTATAATGATTGTACATTAGTACTATTCCATATTATTATCAAATAAGACTTACTTGTTTCAATGAAGCCTCTATAGCAGCGCCAGGTGCGAGCGCTTCGTCTCTGTCGGTCCGCTCGGCGGCGGCGCGGTCACGTTGCTCCAGCCAGCGCGGATCCAACAGGCCGATGCGCACGTGATCCGCCACCTTGTTGGCCGGGATCCTTTCACCTGTTATCGGAGACACCAGCCATTCCTCTCCCGCCGCCTGTTGAGGGCGGGTACGTTTCGGATCATATTTCTTAACCACCACGCGATCAGCGCGAGGTGGCAGCGGTGCTTCCTCGCTAGGCGGCGGTGGAGGCATCATAGGCTCGTCATCCTCAGATGAGCTCTCTTCTTCCATATCCTGAACTCTGTTGTCGTCGGGCCGCTGTTGCTGCTGCGTCCTATCCTCCATCTCATCTAATTCCTCGTCGCTATCGGACTCCGACTCTGATTCGAGCTGCATCTCAGTATCATCGTCTTCTGGTACATGAGCGATATCTTCCCCGCGCTCTTGCGCCAGCACTCGTGCTCCAACTTCCAACGGAGTTGTCGGCGGTGGGAAATCTCCAGGTTCTCCAGCTGGATAGTCGACAGTTTCGACGACGACGAAGTCATGCCAGTCAATAGACGCGTAAGCCAAACGCTCTTTTTCGATTCTAGCCTCATCGGCCGCTTTGCGACGAGCTTGATGAGAGTGCCATGCGGCACGGCTCCGAGCCTGCTCCAGAATCCCGCTCCGTATCTCAGAACCCAATTTAGTCACTAATTCTTTAGGAGGCAACAACACTTTGGTATACTGTTCGAGAAGACGCGTGAAATATTGAAAGAGGGAGTGTTGCGGACGTAAGAAGTCGAATTGATGGTTTCTTTCCTCTTTCTTCATCAAGTCTGTTAAGAATTGTCTTCCATTTCTAGCAACAAATTGCGCAGTGAGTTTGACGATATCGAGTTCCAGGGCCGAAATCGAAGGTGGATCAGCTATGAATTCGAAATCTGGTGGGGGGTCTCTCGGCGGCGGGGGTTCAGCGGGAGCGGCAGCCTTTAATAACTCCTGTTGGCGGGCTGCAGTTGCTGGAGCTAAACCTCCACGAGTTACACCAGGCGGTGCAGGGGCAGGCGCAGAAGGATCTGGACCTTATTGCCAAGCAAAAAGATTCAATGCACATTAATATTTTAAAGTATTACACATATCATTGAGCTCTGACACCCATATGTGTGAATTAAAAAACAATTTGATTTTATTAATTACATATATGAGGAATGACAAGAATGAGTATAAAGCCAGTACAGCTGAGCCATTGAGGAAGAAAGAAAGAGAAGACTGAGGATAAGAAGGAGTTCGAAAGTGGCACCTATAAAAAAATATCTGAAAAGAAACTTATCTGGTTCGGTACAGAAATAATATTTAACATTTATGGAAAGGATAACATAAATGTTGCCAAGGTTATATAAGGTGTATGAAGGACATGAAAGTAAAGGGATTAAATGATGAGATGATGTTAACATAAAAGAATGGAAGAAAGGATACACTGCCACCACAGGGCAGGAAGTTGATGATGCTATTTAAGAAAAATATAACAAAATAATAAGAAATACCATACCTTTTCCTTCTCTAATCTCTTTCACTTTATGTTGGTAATAAGCATGATATGGATCCCCCGAATTTAAGAAGTTGAATTTGGGATTGCCAAGTTCATTTTGCCTGATGCGAGCTTCAAACTCTGGACCATTTCGGGCCACAAAGCTGGCGGTCTTGTCAACAATATCTGATGAAGTTTGTTAAAGAAATGCTTTACTGGTTGTAAAAGGATACAATCAAACAGCAGAAGAATATTTGTTACTATTTATTTAATGGTGATGATGAAAGTTGATGATTTGTTGATGATTATGATTTGTAGTGTCAAAACTTTCAAATAATAATTTTCAACTTACAGGTTACTGCGTTTTTTCAACATACAAATAATAGCATAAATACACTATTGTTTCATGACCTGTGGATCTTTGGGGGTTTGTCAAGTTTTTCCTTTACGGGTGAATATAACTACTTTTAAGATGCACATCTTGCATGTTGAATAAGTGATTTTGAATTTGACATAAAGCATATCACCTATTTGATATCTAATTTTGACATGCTATTATGTTATCATAATGAATGTAAGTAAGTTACTGTAAGTTGTACATATTATATTTACATATACCTATATTATTTTTTATGTCAAAAAAAACATCATTTTATAAAGGAGAATGCCTTATTTGTATGAGGATTCTACTAACTTACGTCAACCCACATTTACTTTCAATGGGTCAAGTTTTTACTTAAATTCTCACTACCATCAAAATTTTAACTTAATTTGATCACATTTTTGTGATATTTGAAAAAATAATAATAAAGAGACCCTGTATATTGATATTTAATTTTATGCACTTAAGGAGTGAATTTGCACGAGATAGATTCCTACACTTACCTGATAACCAGAGGTCGGAATTAGATAGTTATTTATGTACTTGCATCAAAATGTTGATATTAATGTGGACCTTCCCTGGATTTCTTTATTTCTTTCTTTCATTGATGTAAGTTTGGCAACGTCGTGCGTGCAGTAGTTTAAATTGTGTAAAAGTAAATAACTTTTTATTTAAAAAATCATGGGATTTTTTCTGCATTTTAAAATTAATCTCGGGTTTTGAGGCATATCCACTTTATTCTTTCGCTGTATGAAATCAGTGTAAGTACATGAATAACTCTACCTAATTCCGACCACTGGTGATAACATTCAAACAGATATTTTCAATTTATTATTAACAAATAAGCAGGCACTATAAACTCTGACCGGCATTTTTCAAAAGTTTACTATCTCAACACAGCAAATCACTTCAGAGTTACTATTTTGATATGCCACGTTACAAAAGTAACTATCTAAATACTGTAAATAGTAATACGACTGTAGGCAGTATTATTCATTAAAATAGCAATACAACTCAAATGTAGCAAATACATCAATCAACCGACATAAATGATAAAAGATTAAAGGAATCAACAAAAAGTAAAGAATAGGAATAAACATCAATAGATTGACACTTCACAGTTCTATATTTCGGTGTCCGTTATGCTGTTTGAAGTTTTTAATAAAATATTCAATGTATTTTACTATTTACTACAATTAAATAATTATTATTTTACACTTTAATTATGCAATTGTGAACTTAGACGGTAGCTAAAGGAAGGTATTTAGAAGACTGTCAATTTTTTAAAACAAGGTGAACATAATTATTTGGGTGTGCATTTTTTTTTAGAGAAATAGGCGATTTGATAATATTTAATATCAATTTTTAATTCGGTCAAAAATATGGCTTAAAAACCAGCAGTAAATATATATAAATCAAAAATTATTTTTGGTAATAGTGTACCTGTGACACAATATGGTACAGAAAAAGGCAATCTCTTTTTACTGATTGAATGTTATAGTAAAAAAGATCTTTTTTATTTATTGATAATCTTGCCATATGATTAAGCTTCATATTTGTTAATTAGTGGAGTTATATTTATATTAGATTCTGTTATTGAAGAATTTCTTGTAATATATGTTTTAATGAGTTAAAGTCAAATTAGGTATACAATACTTAAAAATGAAACTTTTTTGAGAATGTGATACTATTTTACATTGATACAATTTTGATGATTGAGGTTAGCTTTTGATTCTCTATATGAAATAAATTGAACAAGGATTGACCCACAAGGATCTACACATTTATTTTCGATGGAAGGGTTATATTTATAATCTTGGATATTTTTGGCGTAGAATAAATTAGAAACTAAAGAACCCCATTTAGAAAACATTTGACTTGTGAAATTGTATTATTGCTTTTGACACATTGTAATACTTACATTAATACAATGTCTTTTCATATTTGCATTATAAAAGGATACTTCTCACTTCTGGTGGCGGATAGATGATGCCAATTACTGGTGGAGGAGGTGCTTGAGGCTCTTCCACCGGCCCTTCCAGGACCTGTCCCGGAGGGCCCATCACGTCAATAGACGGCATGTTTATATTAAATTATAGCAACATTCGTCTACTAATCTAAATAAACCTATCAAAACTTGCTTTTAAAGTAGAATTATTTCTTAAATTGGCTAAATACTTTTGAAAAATACACAAGTCAACACAACGCGCAGCTCAACCAAGATATGACATTGACAACTTGACTAGGGATGCACCGACATATAGGAACGGAACACATCGATATATTGCACGAGAAAAAAACGATTTATATCTATATCCAAGAATAGGGATGACGCCTGGGCAAAAAAAAATCAATTCTATTTAGTCTGTCAGTCAGGTAATCGAAAAATATTAGATACGTATTTTATTTACTTCAATTTAACAAGAAATTACTTAGATAACAGGCATTAAAGTTGAGGAGTGTGGGATCACTACGTCACAGTTTAGTAGAAAACGTACCATAACGTGACCTCATGCGAAATTCAACTCCATGTAACGGTGTAATTTTATGATTTCGAAAAAAATACGTGTTTAATATTTGTTAACATTCTAACTGATGGACAAACAACCAAAATTTATCGTCATCCCTATTAGTGATATCGGAACCTTATATCCAATGAAGTCTAAAATGAGTAAATGTATATAAGTTTTCTGAATTTTAACAGCCAATAAGTATTCGGTCTTCTTCTTTATTTTGTTTTTTTTTGCTAGTAAAATATGTGTTATTCCCAATTCAATCTCAGTCTATTGAAGTCGCTATAAAACATTTTCCATTGTGTCGATGGTGCATACTTTCAAAACGCTTTTTTTCCAAAAGCAGGAGCCACTAGCTATCACATGATGTAGGAATCAGCTTCACGGAATTAGGTCGTCTCCAAGCTGCTGTTTCTAAATGAGGAAGAATAAAAAAAAATTAGTTCTTGAAAGTAAACTACATGTCACTAGCCATTCTCAGATAACTGTCCATGATATTCATTCAAATTATTGACCTATCAGAATATGATCAGAATATCGACATTATTCGTTATATAATGAACTTTCAAATTCTTATGGTTTTAACGAGTATCTATATTATTTTATGGAAATAAAATATCATATTCACAATATAAGACTTATCACATTCACTAAAAGATATCAGATGTCACACTTACATAAAAAGGAAATAAACAAGATGTCAATACAAAATAGTTATTATAACAACATTATATTTTATTTTTAAATGACGTGTGTTATTTTGACACGGTTTCAAGCCATTAACAAGACTTGCTTAATTATATCGTATATATTAAAGAAGCCCTAGAAAACTTACCTCTATTAGTAGCGATAAATGGAAATAAAAATACAAGTATCCCAACCAGTACAAATCGTTTGAGATATGTGGAGCAATACATTGCGCATATATCCCTACCGGTAGCTTTAATTGGAAAAATAAATTCTAGTATCCCTACCAATGGGGATATATCCGAAGAGATATGTGGAATAGAGGAAAAACGGAATAAATTGAAACTAAAATTACTACTACCACCAGAGACTCCATACAACTGCGTCACTGTCAACATGAAGTTCAATTGATATCCATGAAAATTGTGGCCCTAATAAACGACACCCTCGTTTATTTTCTACTGTTTATATCGCACTGCATCTACTCTAAGTACGCAACAATATGATGGCATATTTTTGACACTTTGAAGACGGGTTTGGCAGATTTTTAAAGATTTGTAGGTAGTGTCGGGCAGATTTAATATTTTTGAAAGAATCAGCTGCTTACGGGGTGACAGTTGGTCCATATCAGCCCTGCGATTCTGTAAAACTTCAAACCCGAATTCGAATCCACTCAGGTGTCCGAATTCACTTCAAAAAGCGGCATCCGCTCAAACTTTAATTGGTAATAATGTTTCGTGAAATAAGTGAGTTTCGAAATGATATATGATTAAATATCTAAGACACGTTTAATCAGTCAATTTTGTTTAGTATTTTTATACAAAAATGGAATCAATAGGATTTCTTTACTAAATGACTAGAATTCGGACACATGAGTGAATTCGAATTCGGGTCTGGATTGTTACAGAATCGCAGGGCAGTATCTCTTATTGATTTGTGGTCCATATTTATTTTGGGGTATAAGCGCTCTGACACCATATATCTAGACGAGTAAATAATCAAGGATTACTAACTTTTAAACCTATTTTATTGTAATATGTCATTTCGTGTTATGGTATAAATCGATATCAAAATAAACAGTTCTCTAGGGACTACGGTTGAAACCGCTGAAGGGAAATTAGTAATGTATACAACGATTTTATATTATATTATTAGTATTTTTTAAAATAAAGAATCGATTTCGGTATTTTTAGTAGTTTAGTACAGCTGATCCCACAGAGTACTTACCTGGGGACTTACCTGGGGACTTACCTGCTGTGCTTGCACGACGACTGGTGCGGCGCCGGGACCTCGGTAGGGCCATAGCCGCGGCGCGACGAGAGGGGATGCGACCCGTCGACTAGCTGGACGCCCCTGTCTGCCCTTCGGGCCTGATACAGGGAGTGATGAGGCTGGTCTTCTGTGGCGCATCGACCTACGGGGGGGGGGGGATCCACGAAAAGGGCTATGCCTGTGTGGATCCTCCCAACACGATGGGTAGGGGCCCGGAGATTGCACAGTTGCGCATCTCTGGTCCCTAGTCAGGGGCAGCTGGCCGGTTCGCACACCGGTCGGCATTGCACGCTCCTGCCTCGTCGTGGGGATGCGTCTCGAATGTCTCTGAGACGTACCCCCAACCCGAGTGGAACCTGTCCTTTCAGGGCAGGCCGAAATGGGGGCGAATTGCGCGGTGTATGGCCTCCGGGCCGATCCCGCGCCTCGCCCACCATGAGAGGGACATCGCTGAGTTTTAGTGGGTAAACTTCTGTTTCTTGTCTAGCCCCCTTTTGGGGGTGGGGCCACAGGAGGAGTCCCACATCACCCGTGGAGCCCGCGCAGGGCGAAGCGGGTATGCGTAACGCATTTCTCAGCGTCAAAAAAAAAAGAAAAAAAAGCTGATCCCACAGAAGGTATTTCTATCCTTGACTTGACACACTCGGACTTATGGCATAATATTCGGAGCACTTTTCAGCAAAATCAAAATAATCTTTATTCAAATAGACTTGTTAAAAGTACTTTTGAATCGTCCATCATTTTTTTGCCTACGATTCGTTCAGGACGTCTTTTGGCTGATAAGAAGAACGAGCAAGAATCTCACCAGCTCTAATAGGAGTAATAACATTCACAAAAACCATGTCATTACCAGATCAATACATTATAAATAGAGAGAGAAAAATCTATGATCTTATAATGATATTCTTCTTATATTATTATATTTTGATTAATTTTGCATTCACAATGCCATATTGAAATTATTCTTAATAGAAAATTCTTAAAAAACCCACTTGGTCCCTGGCACCCCGAGATGGGAATCGAACCCATAACCGTTCGCAATCCGGGCAACAGCTCCAACTACTGAGCTACCCAGGACCTAACAGGACTGACGAATCTTTCAAGCACTTGTTACTTTTCGCTACTACAGAGCGTATTCTCATCAATGTTCAGGCATCCACCCCAACAGCCGAAAGAAATGTTCAATATCTTTGATGTGTAGCAAAACGTAATTTACCCCAACGCTACCGCGATCCCTAGCTGGACTCGCCCGTGCGCTGACGAATGGTTCGGCGAATTCGACGCTCGAATAGAGAGTCTGCCGGCGAGCCCACTACTGCGCGCACGCGTAATTTGTAGTTTCCCGCGTTCCCCTTGCTGTCGCGACAGCTTGCGCGGTCCGCCGTTAAAAAGTATTTGTTTAATTTAGTTTATAATTAATTAGGTTAGGGTTACGTTTAGTTCTATAACTTTCTTGTTTGTATTTTATGTTTTCTATGATCGCCAGACAGTACAAACCGTTATTGAACTTTATGTCGTTTTATTGGTTTGAAAACCACCACATATAAAAGTCCCCCGGACCTAAAGATGCACTTAATCATATTCCTTCTAAAATTACTTGATGACTACTCAAAGATAATTAAATCCCAATCGTATCCTAACCAATAAAAAAACAGTAGTGAGAGATAAGTATAATCAAATAGTGAGAGTACTTCACACCCTTGAATATGTGAAACAAATAAAATACAATTTAAAAGAAAAAACAATAATTGTAGATATCCACAGATAGATTTGCATGAACATCCTCACTCGCAAGGGTTGAATTTTCATGCATCATCGACATACTAACGAAGTAAATTTTGAACTATATATCTTTCAGAATTTGACCATATCATTACTAATACGTAACAATAAATTTCGCACTATCTTCGTTCAAGATCACAGAAGTTCCATTCGTCCAGCTCAGCAAAGCGGTCAGGCTGACGACCTTCTGTACACCGTAATCGAAATAGGAACTGATAATAATGCTCAACATATAAGTTATAAGCAGTACAGCAACAGCGACCAGCATCAAGCCGAGGGCGGTACTTGAACGCCACTCATCTGCTGTAGTCTGCGTGGCGGGCACGACCTCTGCGTCATTGTCTATTTTTGTCTAGAATTGTGCAGAAATAAAAAAACTGTTACTTAACAGTTTAATAAATAAATTGATGAGTTCGTTAGAGTGTTCAGTCTGCTATGCGGATGAATAGAATAGAAAATAATAGATATTTATTTGCCTTTATGTTAAGTAAGTTTTACTTCGGAAGTTAATAAATTGAGATGAGTGCCAAATAACCTTATATTGTGCTCACGGAGGAGCTTGATGCACATTAAGCCTTTGGTCACGGCTGCATTAGCAGTCGTTCATACCCACTAACCTGCATTTGGTATCAAATTCTCTTAATAATGGCCCGGTGGCGGATTAACCCCGTCGGCATCATCAGGCCCAGATATACAACTTTTTTCAGCTGGAGCAAAAACTTGATTTTGCGTTTACACTCCCACCTGCTAAGACGCCTGCTAAAACTACGAAACTAGATATAAGAAAGATAAGGCAGTGCAATGATTTGATGAAGGGAACTTGCCCCAAGAGAAGAGGCCCGGGTGATTTACACCATGATTGTTAGTCGGTGACTAGGGGCTCTATTTTTGAATCATTCGTCTCGCGTCGAGCGCTCGTTTTCTACTGATTTTCGTTCGACTTAACAAATTCGCCATTTCTAAATCGCTCGACTGCAACGAGTGGTATGAACCACTCGTCGCTTAGCGAACGTTGTATGCGAGTGATAGAAGAAAACGAGCGCTTGACGCGAGACGAATGATTCAAAAATAGAGCCCCAGGTGACAATCATGGTGGCCCATGTCACCATCATTGCGCCGTTATCCACACGATCGGTCAACTCACATTTGTTAATTGCTATCTGAATTATATGAACGTCGAAACAAACTCCAAATTATCCTTATGGAGCGTATAACTATATAAACATAAACGGTTGGTGGTAAATGTCTATAAAATAAAGGTCTTCTTCGGCTACCACATTTTAGCATCGATTACAGGCAAAGCAGAAGGCGTCCGCACTGTATCATAATAGATACGAATTGAGTGATCGATGATTGTGTGGACACGCGCACGATCATGATCAAGTTTCCTTTGATGATGATTGTTGGGAACACCGACACAGTAACGAGATGGACGAATTTGACCATCGAGGGCCAATATAAGCGAACACGCCGTCAACAAAATGGTGGTGGCCAATGTTCGCCCATTGTAGACCACTGTGTGAAGTCGGTGTTAGATTTAATGTCATCTATAGGGAAGGTTTGTGCCCCATCTGTGGGGACATTAATAGACTGAAGATTTTTTTATTGAAGATGATAAATAAAAATTGTCAACACTTAGGTATATTAAAAATCTGTGTTTGTTATCCCTGGCATTTCGAAACTTGGTCGAAACAGAGCGATAAATTATGGTTTTACCTCATTGGACATTATGTAGCTTTACGATATTGATTCTAATCAGACAAAGCCGCTAGGTGATCAGATACTTACATATGAATGCAATGGTTTTTCCTTTAAACACTCAGTATTATCTGTCATTTTTCTTAATGATAAATTTTGAAAAGAATTCAAATATAAATTACAAAAATGAATATGTACATAGAAAGGGAAAAAGGAAAAATATTGCAAAGAGTAAAGGGTATCGTAATATAAATTCTCTATGATCAATATGTACGGTCAACAGAATGTCAAGTTATAGAAAATTGGCATATTTATATGAGTTTAAAATCAATTGCGTAAATTAGATTTTATGGTAGCCTCACGTGCACCTGTGTGTACAAAAAAAGAAACCTTAGAACTTTTGGAAGAAGCTGATTCTCAGTGAAGTTAGCGGGTACCCACCTAAAGAGTAAACGTGAGAGTTTTTTACATAGGTCTTTGAGGGTAGTTTTTAAATACTCTTTGAAACCAACTTACCAAGTGAAATTCGATGGCTATTATATAAGTCGCTTCATTCGTAGATACAATTTGTAATGTAGTTTTATATTGTCATTAAAGGGAAAGCAAAACGATGTACTTAAAACAAAGAAAAATCTTTATTATAAATGAGGAAAATCATCATCTAATTTAATTTCGGGAACTAATGTTTATCTTAAAAAAAAAATAGTTCCCGAAATCAAAAAAGATGTTGCTACGGTACTTTCTTGATTTCTCCATGTTTTCGTTCATGTCTAAAAGTAATTTAGTTTTCACAACTCAATAAACAACTCATATTATATTTGTACTTTTTCGTATTTGTATTGATATCTTCGTTTCGTACTTTGCAAATTTCAGTTTTTTTTTATATGTTAACTAAAAAGAACGGAGCGCTCAGTGTAAAGTTTTTTGACGTTTACGTTCACTATCGATCGTGAGCGCGTTAAGATTTTAGTATGGAATCCGGTACAGCGCCCCTAGCGGTAGCTACCAATAAATACAAATCTCCATACAAATTCTTAACGCGCTCACTAGTGAACGGGTTAGAGGAAAACTTACACTTATCACTTTTAAATACTATCTTTGGTCCATTCGTTTCCTGCAAAAATCAACTTTTGCTAGAGTCGCCATCTCCTATTATCATCTGCTTTTTTTTGGTGCTTTCTTTTTATTTTTAAATACTTCCTCATTGTAGCTTCTAAATCTGAGTTTGTAGTAAGTTAATTGTTATTATCAATCGCATTCTTAAACTAGATAGGAAGCTTTAGACTGTATTTTATGTTAAAACTGTAAATATTTTTTATTATAGTCTTATGATTTTGTTTTCTTATATTTTCAGTCTTATGTAAAAAAAATACAAACGCGATAAAACCGTTTAAAAGATGTTTCATTATCTTATGATTTCATTAAAATTCAAACAGAATACGACTCTAGGGCAATTTTAGGCCATTTTGAGACGGATTACCGCGGGTTGACTGTAAATTAAACTAAAATAGTTTTAAAATAAATATTATTTTATTCAAACTTATTACATAAAGGTATCAGGTATACAATTTTATTAGCTTTAAAACGGTAACCTACATTCAAATTGACAAAATTTATGCTTACAATGAAATTACATTATTAACAACTTAAATATAAATTCATAAAAACAACAATAGTTCAATTAAAATAAGCACTTAATTAGGCTCGCGCTCGATTATTTATTAAAAAAAAAAATGAAACAATATGACTTACAAACTAGATTACCATGTTTATTATTATTTTCAATAAAAACTTATTTATATGGTGATGAAATTAATGATCTTCGTGCTATGGTATTGAAGATTTAACTTAATTTTAATAAATAAAATACTAACTAGCATAAATAACAATAAATCATGTTTAAAACTATTTTTTTATTATCCCTAATATATAAAATGCCGATTTATAAACTTAGGAATTACACAGTACCTACTTTCTATTTCACATTTGAAGCTTATAACCGGTTCAAACTCGATTTTGCATGCATACGGGTTAAATGACAACGACAACCCGCATATGATCAAGAAATTACGTACGCATTCTTAACTCCAATGTATATGTTTTTATGGTCTTAAGATGGCATATATTTTGGGAAACACTGACAGACTTTATTAATTTATATTAGTAACATTTATGTAGCTAACATCAAGGAGAAAACCTATTGCAAAAGTCGAAATATAGTGGTACGTTTTACACTTTTTTAAGTACTCTAGGTGATCTTCGGGAAAAACGCGATTAAATGTTTTATTTAAAAGAAAACTGTTATAATTTTAGCCAATAATGAGTTTTTGTATATAACAAAAAACACGAAATCGACTTATCCAAATGGCAGAATTCATTAGTTTATTAATTCTCCTTCTCTGGGAACGTGATATCTTTGGTAGCTACTCTTTGTCTATTTCCAAAGTTAATTTTACTTGCAAGTTGTCCATCAGTGTTAAGAAGTTCCGTATTTGAAAGACATTAATATAATAAGAGTATATCAGTTAGTTGACCCCGTTGATCGCAGCGAGGTCGTCCCGTTGTTCATAAGAGGAGCGAGGGGCTATCTTTTCTCTCTCTTCGTTGCCCGCAAGGAAGATTGCTAGGTGTTCCTACGACAGTAAATAGACATTAGTTTCGAATATATAGAGAAACTCGCTCTTTGTTATAGGCAGTTCTAAAAGGGAAACGGACAAGCGCACTGGATGGAGAGGGAATGGAAAGGCGTGGTCCAAATGGCGGATGAAGAAGATAGTTTTCTCTTGAGTATATTCTATAGTTGACAAGCTCAAAATACTTCAATCGTATTACCCTAAAATTTTAATAGATTTTAGGCATCGTTAATTATTACGAGCGATTACATTTTGTGTTTTGTTTTGCATTCTGTTATTTTTATGTACCTGTTTAATGTTCATACGCTTTGCGCTTCTGTTAAGTTTACCTAATTTATGAGAAAAGACACTTTTCGTAGACGGAGTGTAGTCATCTTTGCTAAGGAAAATAAAAGAGTATTTTTCTTTAAATTGACAAGACAATTTCTTGTATAATCTAAACAATGAAAAATATTAGTCTGATCATTGAAAATCAACTAATTTCAAATCTGAAAGTTGATAAATATAATGTGTAAGAAATAGGGTTGCCAGATAGCCGAGAGTGTCCCGACATTTTGGAAGACATCCAAAGTCCCGGAGATAAAAAGAAAAAACCTGAAACTAGTAATATCAAAAAACCGCTTGCTCAGCATTGACGAAGCAGGTTACGAAATAATTCAGTAAACTTTTGTAATTTTTTATTTGTAATTCAGTATTTGGCGATCCTAGTTTGAGAAGATGTTCTTAGGTTCGTTACCCCAATTTAACTTACCAAATAAGTATGTGAGGTTTGTTTAAGTTGTTGTAGTAGAGCGGCGAGCTTGTTTCGCCAAGTCTTCACCTCTGCGATTGCTGTTTCTACGGGCTGAGACTGTAATAATATTACCATTAAATAAGTAGTTATTATTCCATTGACGTTTCTAGTTACGAAATGATACGTTGTGTTTTAAAATACAACTAGCGCCATCTGTCGATTGTTATAGAAAACCTGTTATTAATGTTGTTTATTTTAATTCGGAAAATAAAAGTGCCACTAAATCATGAAAATATATATCAATTAATAATATCATGGATTTCTTATTTTGAATCATTATTCGAGATTCTTTCTTCGAGAGACTTCAGAAGTTTATTGATCGATAATTTTGATTGTTCCATAATGGATTTATTATGAGTTTATTTTGGATGTAATAAACTTAGCGTTAATACCTTGAAGCAAAACTTAAAATATTTTGATAATTATTATATTAATTACCTTAAGCAAAGAATCCGCTAAAGACGATAAATGTCTGGTGATCATATTCAGCCCTTGACGTAAATTCCTGGGAAAGAAATAAACATTGAAATTGTTCAAATTTACGTCTATTCAATCCAATCAAACACCACATCAGAAGGTACAATTCTGCTAATATTAACGTAATAATAGCATCTCAATAGAATACCAACTACTTACATTTTGCCATTGTACTATTTACCTGAATTCCAATATTAATATATGTGTGTCACCATTGATGTGTGAGGAAGACAACACTAATAATATTGGACTTTAGGTATATAATACATTGGTAAAATGCAAATAGTTGAGATTATATTGAGATGTAATTATTACGTTAACATATTATCAGAATTGCCCTACAATCCTGCGATTCTATAAAAATCCATACCCGAATTAGATTTCACTCATAACGGCAGCGGCATCCGCTCAATCTTGAATTGGTAATAACGTTCGTGGCAAAAGTAAGGTGAGTTTCGAAATGACACGTGTAATCAATTAATTTTGTTTTGTATTAATTTCTTAACTAAATGACGTGAATTCGGAGACTTGAGTGAATTCGAATTCGGGTTCGGATTTTTACAGAATAACTCTGCAGGTTTCCTATACGGTACGCTATGTAGAACGATGCCTCTCGACGAGCTCTTAACAGAAATTTATTTAACCTGATGCTAATGAAGCTATTATGCTCCTCAAATAATATCTGATATCTATAGACAAATGTTTCATAATTATCATCAGCCTATTAATATTTTCACTCTTTCCTGTGTATGGAGTCGTATCGAATAGGAAAATGAGCCACCCACCACGCAGACCAGTGCCATATAGTGGATGTTATCAGACGGTTTATCGTGCCTTTTGTAGCACAGAGTAGTTCGGGGTAATACATTTTACCTCGAACTACTCTGATTCGAAAACTGCATTAACAAGAAAAATACTTACTTAGGTAAATCAGTGTGCGTGTAATTAATTAGATGGACCATCTTCCTGGCAGTCTCGCGTGCTAGTAGAACAAGCAGCTCTTCAACGGTGGCGGGACGTGCTTGGTTCTCGGGCTCCGGCTGGCTGAGCGAAGCGTACAGCTGCTTTGCTTTCTTCCAAGCGAGCGTGGGGTCTGTTGCGACCTGTCCAGCATACAGGGTCATCTTAATATTCTCTTTACTACCTAAACGGCTATAATAAATTATGTGCATGATCTAATTTTAACACGCCATAAGCTTTTAATATCTCTAATGCTCGGGCAAATTGCTATTCATTATATAGGAATAGTTATACAAAGTTAAAATTATTATTCTTCTATGTCAAAAATGGTGCAATGCCTTCCACAGTCAACTTTAAAGCCACCGTAACAGAATTTGATATAAACTATAACTTTAAGTGCAATAATGGTGAGCCTGTGCGTTTGTGAGACTCACCAATTCAGCAACGTAGACGAGCACGTGTATCTGCTCCTTGATAGCCTTGGCTTCAGCGAGCGCCTGCCTGGTGAGCCGGCGCTGCAGTTTCCTGCCGAGGCGCGCTCCGTGCTGCACCGCCTGCGCTGCGCACGCGCGCCCCCCCTCGCACGACCCGCCGCCCGCGCCGTCCACCGCGTCGGCACTCGTCACTATGATCACCACTATGGTAAGAGTAACAGTCACTACGCAACTCTCATAACACACACACACCACCAGCCCTTTTACGTCCCCACTGCAGGGGCTCAGGCCTTCCTTATGGATGGTTAAGGGGGATGGGCCACGACCCTCCACGCTGGCCCAATGCGGATTGGAGGGTAGTAACGACTGCAAATGCAGCCGGGACCAACGGCTTAACGTGCCTTCCGAAGCACGGAGTAACTCGAGATAATAATTTTTTTTTGGTCAACCATCAAAAAAAAAAAGTACAACTCTCATACGTCATCAAAAAAACAAAAAATGTTTCATTTTTAATAAAAAAACAAACTTTTTTGGTTATGATAATAGGTATGCATCGTGACTGGCACATGTTTAATAAATATTAGGTGAAAAAAGGTCATTTTGGCGTCCTCTGTTTGTATTATTGATTACAAAGTACTCCTACATGATATAAAGTACAATACTCCATTTAAGAGTACGGTTGGCAACCCAACAAAAGACTCTTATTCATGGTAAGCAGTAGGACAACTGTTGATAAACCTTTTTTCCGCACAACGAGCAAAAAAAATTCCAACACGCAGTTACCGATTTGGAATGGACTTTGTTTCTGGTGAGATGGGATCTCGCAGATATCTCATTTATCTCATCTCAGAGTACCTTTTTTAAGTAATTTTCATTAAGAATATTTTTCAATATAGCATTATGAATGTAAAATTGATCAAATATACGAGTAACAATATTATTTTTGCTAAGTATAATCAAAATTTTATATAAAAACTTTGAGAACTTCCGGAAAATTGTATGTTTACGCTATTAATTGATATGTTTAGGATTTTATTTTCTACATTGAAAATTTATCATAATTGTCAATACAGTACTGTGATTAAATAATTAGCTTTTGATTTTTTTCTAATAGCTCTCAAAAATTTTATACTACTATAATTGTGATGATTTATGTGGTGACGACCCTGATAACGTTTTTACTATCATGGACTCAAGAGTCCACGTGACCAGAAAGACAATTCTAATTTGTCATCCAGACAACTGATAACATGTATGAATCACATTAAACTAGAAATACCACGTCGGCTATACCAGTGTTTTTCAATCTGTGGGAGTCTTAATTGCGGGGGTCACTAGCAAAAAAAGAATCAAGATTCTATATAGTTTACTACAACAAATTTTAGTAAGAAGAATGGATTTGTTTATATTTCAATAAAATATCAAAAAGTGGTGCTATTTTGAAATAATATTAAATGAATAATCGGTACTACATACCTAAATAAAGAAAATTATAAATGTTTTTTTATTATATTCCAATTTTTTATATTTCTATTGCTCAATTGGGTATTTTTTGACATGCATAAGGGTCGTGTATGATAAAGTTTGAAAAACACTGGCCTATACCATTAACCTCGTTAACAATCTATATTTGTTAGTGACAGCTAATATAATTTGTTAGTCCAACGCCTCAAACTTATTGTTCCGTTATTATTATATTAATAAATTATTTATTTATAGCGATGTTTACTGCAAAATTGCTATGTGGGTTAATTTTCTTGTGATTCAAATAATGCTTATTTAATAAACTGTTATAAAAAAAAAATCAACTGAACCGATTAACGTTGATTATATAAAATCGAAAACTGTTGACTTTTGATTTGTCTCCGATTTAGTATTTTTAATTTCCTGAAAAACATATTGCGAGCATCTTTTTTCAAATTGTACAAAAAAATTACAATTAAAGTAGCCGTTTTCGAGTAACACTTTGTAATATCGACAATTCCTACGTCCTACTACCGAAATTAGTGTTGCGCCTTTACTACTCCAGTTAGTTATCCACCTGAAAATTGGCACATAGGATATTTATTGAATGTGTTTTCGACTGGGAAACAAATCTTTTCCAATTTCCTGACAGATTTTAAGGTTAAGCACTCAGTTTTACTTCGGAATCGCGATGTAATTATTTCTATTATTTTTGCCATTTATGCAGTTTTACTCCGGAAAAGAATGCTAGATAGTCGAAATTTTATATTTAAGCGTTTTTTAACATAATTAAAAAAATGTGGAAGGTAGGCTTTACGAATATATATATTTTTTGTTATATATGGGATACCCTAATATATAATTTTATATTTTATCATGGTATTATGGTAATATATTATGGTATTATATTATATTATGCTAGGGCAGAGTCCTAATTGGCAACAACCATTAATAAGTGTATTTGTGTTATATGCTACCAGTGTATTTGGTCAATAAATTTTCTTTCTTTCTTTCTTTACCAAATAACAATTAAGCAAATTACGTCATATCGTTCGTTTCCTTTACTTTTTCGACAGTTTTTGTATCGTATTTAACATGATATTTGGTTTTTAATTTATTTATATATTTATAATAACAACATAATTACCAAGAATCACATCTGATATTTGCACCAATAATAAGCGTGTACAGCAATAATTATATTTTATAATGAATATATATATATATATGTAACAATTGCAAAGTTAAATTCTAATTAATCAATAACAATAGAAATAATAATAATAATAATCAAAATTCTCAAAAGAAAAATACTCAAATCTATCTTCTGAGGACAATTAATTCAACACTATCCTTGAAAGTAGGCAACGAAATATGAAAGATATCGATATTGTCTTTGTTGTTCAATCTATCTATTATATTGGTATAGAAATTGTTTGCTCACCTTCAGCTGTGTCCTGGTTATCCGGTGGGAGGTACTTGTCGACGTACTTGTCGGCGGTGGTGAGGGCCCGGTCTAGAGCAGTGGCAGTCACTGCTGTGACGCGTGAATCCAACACTGCAGTGCCCAGTTGCTTAACCGAGTCGGCGCGTTTGAGCACGTAACGACGGGTTTCTGAATACATCTGAGGGATACGATATCAGTATAGAATGTGCGCTTTTGCCATACGTTTGTTAAGCAACTTTCGTAAGGGCCGGTTATCGGATGGGTGACAAAAAAAATTATATCTCGAGCTCCTCTGTGCTTCGGAACGCTCGTTAAGCTGTGAGAGTCGTTAATTCCCACCAATCCGCACAGGGCCAGAGTGATGGGTCATTCTGCCTATTTTATTTAATTCGATTCCATCCATACCTACAGAAGACCTGAGCCCTGGCTGACAGTGGGGACATTTATAATAATAGGCTGGTGATAATGATGATGACACCTACTTCAAAAGACAAAACAAGTTTTATTTAGTTGAAGTTTTATGACGTAATAGCGCTGCGGTCGAAAATGAGTTCGAGGCTGTTTTTTAACAGAATAGCATAACTAATAGAAGAATACTAAACCTGTTGTCGTATTCACCCTATATAATCATAAAATTCTGAATAGGCTTGGCGGCAGAAGCCAGCCTTTATAACTAGGGATGAAGAGTAGTTAAAAAAAGAAATTATATTTATAGAATAGATTTAGATACGTATTTTTTTTACTTCAATTTAACAAGAAATAACTTAGATAACAGACATTTAATCTGAGGAGTGGGGGCTCGCTACGTCACAATTGGTAGAAAATGTGCCAAAGCGTGACGTCATGTGACATTTTAAACTCAACGTATCGCCGTAATTTAATGCTTAGGAAAAAAATTAAAAAAATACATGTTTAATATTTTTAAACAATCTAACAGACGGACAAACAAAGAAAAATTAGACGTCACCCCTATTATCATATCCTGCAACAATGTATGGAGCTGTAGGAGAAAAGAAAATGAAAGAGGTTAAAGAATCGGCTTAGTCTAAGTCGGACTCGCGCACGAAGGTTTGCATACCATTATATTAAATCTATTAAAAAACACGTTTGTTGTATGAGAGAACCTCTTAAATGTTTATTTTACTCTGTTTTTTATTGTTATAGCGGCATACTCTGTGTAATACATCATCTGTGAAATTTTCAACTGCCTTGCTATCACGGTTCATGATATAAAGCATGACAGATAAAAAGAGAGGAACCCTAAAAAAGGCTGATAACTTTTTCTCTGTCGTTATATATATATCTCCTTTTCTATAGGGTAAGGATGCCGAATATGAGATACCATTTTTATTTTTGGCTATAAAACATAAAATATTGTACTAATCATTATGAAAATTGCAATATTTGATAGGGTATTTAATGAAGTTTATTTACGAGGGACCGTTTAGTTCTGAGTATAATACATTTTTTATTATATCAAAAAATATTAAGAAGTTCAGAAATTACGTCTCAAGCAAATGGTCTCCTATTATGAGATACTGAGGGTTGCTAATATGAGACAGTATCTCATATTAGGTTCTTTAGGGTTTGAGTATAGATTTACAGAAAAAGGAAAGAAATTAATTTGCATTATACTTTTTATTGGCTATATTCTCAAATTAACAACATTATACTCCTAAATAAATAGGTCTGAGTATGACTTAATATATGTATGTAACGTACATAGTTACAATTTATATTAAAACTTATCATAATCACAGTGATTTTTAAATGGCACTTATTAAACAGTATCAAAAACAAAAGTATTATGCTAAATCTTAGATATTATGCAGAGATTTTCATATCATACTTAATAAACAATATCCTAATACGAGATATCTCATTTTAGGAGCACTCGCATGTCTCATATTAGGAAAACATCTACATTCAACAAAATGGCTGCACATTATTTCTCAGTAAAGAAAATGCAATAAAACTGCATATGTATCATAAAATTCATGATATAATTGATAGAATGACGGTAAATTAAAATCATTCAGTGTAATTAATACAGTTGTAGTATACCTTGTAAATATTTGATGAGAAAAATTTGGTTTTGGGGTTTCGTGAAAACCCACGTGTACACAACCTAACTTCGCTTTGGACTGAGAAGTACTAACACACGTTTTGATCTTTTGCCATGTGGCTTCTAGGGACAGTAGCGTCAAATGGCTGCGGCGATTAGTTTCGCCAAAACCTAACTATCTCATATTTGGCGACTATCTCATATTCGGCATCCTTACCCTAATATATGTATCACTTTCTAGGCAAAGTGTATATGTATTGTCTACAGGCCTTGAGATTTTCTTTCGTTGCCTTCTTGCCCTGATTCATACTCTTATGGAAATTGCCAAATAATATTTCGCAATTCTTCAATAGATAATTGCTAGAATATATTCATACATAATAATTCAGTAACGGCGTCAATACTCCCAACATCGGTCAGCTTAAATCTATTCAAGACGAGAGTGAATATGCTCCTTCTGGGCTAGCTCGTTCCACCGTACATATCAGCCTGGGGGCTGGAATGAACCCATAATTTATAAAAAAAAACCTTTTCGCATGATGATAATCTTTTGTTATTTTACAAAACGTGATAGATAGATAAAACACGTAGGTTATAAACAATGCAAAATACTAGTGAATCTGAAAACAATTAAGCTAATGAAATAAAAAAAGTTTGAATGAAATAAATGAATCAAATTTCGAAACAGATATCCCTTTACTTATATCGATGCATCAATAGTTCATAAACTAAAGCTGTAAATACGTATTTTCATTGATGTTTGATTTAAATAACTTATCGATAACAACCTATGAGGGTCACGAATGAGTAATACTGTATTGTTCAATGAACATCATGATCATTATTATGGATGCAACAGTCGCTGTCCTGTAGGTCATGTTTGTCACAATAGTGACGTCAATTAGAAGAAAACTACATTGTATGATATCGACAATAGGGATGACGACTGGGTAAAAAAAATGCAATTCTATTTAGTCCGTCAGTCAGATAATAGAAAAATATTAGATACGTATTTTTTCTTACTTCAATTTAACAAGAAATAGCTTAGATAACAGGCATTAAAGTTGAGGTGCTACGTCACAGTTGAGTAGAAAACGTACTATAACGTGACGTCATGCGAAATTTCAACTCCATGTAACGCCGTAATTTTATGATTACGAAAAAAATTAAAAAATACGTGTTTAATATTTTTTAACACTCTACCTGACGGACAAACAAACAAAAATTAGTCATCATCCCTATTGTATCATAAAGAGGAAAGATTTCACTATTTTAAATTCTTTTAAATTCTTAATCTTATATCTTATCTATATATATAAAAATGAATCGCAAAATGTGTTGGTAAGCGCATAACTCAACAAAGCCTCGACCAATTTGGCCAAATCTTTTTTTAAAATGTTCGTTGAAGTTCAAGGATGGTTTTTACGGCGAGAAAAATTAGAATTATTGCTGGAAAAACCCTAAAAATAGCCCTTTTCTTTTTCCCATACAAATGATTTGTAACTAAAACGTAGTCAATTTGAGCTTTATTGCTATGGTATAAAGTTCATATTAAATTACAAGCACTCACTGTTGTCTAAGCAATGTAGGTGTGTTCCTAACGTCAAAGATCATATCTATCAAAACAATGTGCGTGTGTGCGTTGGAGCACAGAATACATAGTTGGAGGAGTTTAATGTCGCGTTCCGAAACTCACGTTTCTTTTGTATTAGTTTCGGCACGCGAGATAAAATGCATCAGTTTCCACGTCATTACATGTATTGCCGGAACATTGATGAAAATACGCTCTGTAGTAGCAAAGCTGTTGGGTCCTAGATAGCTCATTGGTTAGAGCAGTCCCTGGATCGCGAATGGGTTCGAGTCCCATTCCGGGGTACAGGTAGATGGATTCTTCCAGCATTTTTCCTTGAGAATGTTTATATATTTTTTTAATTCGAATAGTTTACTTTTATAATGCTGTTGTGTGTAATGTGTTTTTATGATCATAAAAATCTCTTTTTTCTATATTTAATTCTATTACTATTAATACATTGCAATAATAATTATGATTCACATGATTAACAATAAAGCGATTACTTACTTTTAAATCCTTATATATGTTTTATTTAATTATTTTTTATTCACAACGCCCTATCACCAGGGTGACGGTTCTGTTCAGGAGAATTTTTTTAAATACGCAGGCAAAAAAACTGCCACATTACAAATCTTTTTGACAGGACAAAGTCTGTCGGGTCAGCTAGTGTTTATTATAAATTCTTCATCTGCGGGAATTTAAAATATACGCCGGTGACAACTACAAGCTATCTACGCAAGCTGTTTCTTTTTAATTTCTTTCAAATTGAACAACCGTTATTTTTTTATTAGTTTTTTGCCACGGTAATATTTGGAAATAATCAACGTATCAAAATGTCCTATCCAATATTTTTCTTTGCATGTTACGTCGTGTTCTGATATGGGCTCATGGAATATTTTTAGCTTTATTTGAGGCTGCGTTAAATAAAGGGATAATTTTGTACATTTTTAAAGAAAGTGATATAAAATATTGGTGTGGCAATTCAAAGAGGTAATATTCGCAGCCTTCTCGGCACCTTATTGCTGGCAATGGTTTGGGGTATATTTTTTTCTAGTATAGTTTTTTTATGGCTGAGATAAGTAGTTTTAATTTATTATAACTATTGGCGGACTAATGAGGCTCCAAATAGGTTGCCAGCCATTCGCCAAAATCATAATTAAGTTAAAACGTATGCATGGGGGGGGGGGGGGGGGGTAAACGCAATTGATATCAACAATAACATTTTATTATGAAACATGTTTGAAAGCTCAATCCGATTTTATTTAAAAAACGTTGAATCCTTCGTAATAAACTATCGAGGGGCACTATTCAGTTTTTACTATGATAGAAACACTTCGTAGATCCGGGGCTGTAGCCATTGGCTATAGGTATTCATTTCTTAGATAACTCCCTACTTACTTGATTGAAAGACAATCAAGATCTTAGTCTAAGTGAACACGGAAGCTGTTAAGGATCCGAAATTTATAAAAAATGAAAACAAATAGGTATTCAAGTAATTAAGTATAAACGTTACGTATAAATAAAAATGTTTTGGTTCATAAAATGAATTTTTTTTATAAGTCGAAAAAATGTTATTACAGAAGAATACGAACAATTTTTGTTTAACAACAACTTATAAATCTATATTTATTCTATATATAATTTCTGAAAATAATACAAACAATCTATATTGCACAACTTAAACAGGACAAATAACAAAAAAAAAACGAAAACGGTTCACAAATGGCGGCCTTATTGCTTAGCAGCAAATTTCTTCCAGACAACCAATGGTAGTTAGGAAAAATTAATAAATGAGAAGAAAAGAGAGGGGAGGGAGCGGGTGCAATAATGATGTACCCTATATTAATTGTAAGCGGCAAATATTTTTTTAATATAATCAATTTGATGTTTCAATGAAAAAGTTGAAAAAACATTATATTATACCAAGGTTTTTGACAGTAGGTACTTGAGTATGGAATAATAGAGCCATCGAAACGAAGTGAGGAGTATATATAATTATAATTAGTTAAAAGGGTTAACAGTGACGCCAAAAGATTTACTCCAGCTACATACATCGAAAATGCTAGAGAGCGGTGCCTGGGTGTAGATTTGGAGAACGTGAATCTGCATAGATGTGATAGGAACTGGAAATTGTGCGAGTGATAGAATTGATAAAGATAGAGAAAAGAAAAGGAGCTAAGACGTCACCTTGAGGAACACCGACATTGATAGCGCACCACGAAGAGAAGTTAATCATTATAAGCGAAATTGAGCTAGATTTTATCATCCAATTAGTTCTGTTTTTAACCGCTAGAGTACCTACTAAAATGCCAACAGAACACATCTCAATTACCCACAGTCCTGCACTGATTCCTTGTTCAGTGGGGACTGCAGGATATATTATACTTAATTCAATTGAATTTTTAACACTCACGCTTCTGATCTTTGCACTGCCTACGATTAATGGCATTAATTCTTATGTGAGTGATATTGTACTACAACCCGCTCTTAAGTCCCTTTAGAAGGTCGTATTAGACAATAATTAGGGTACCAAAGGTTATAAAAATATAAATTTAACCCACGACTTTATTATAATTGGACATTGTACTTTGATGTCAGCGAGCCCGTTATCATATTGTCATATAAAATTTGTATATTATTTTTATTTACAGTTCCTGGTTGTATTCAAAGTTCATGGTTACTTTTAAGTAATTTAGTTACAGATAAAATTTCGATCTATAATAAAATTGTTGCAAGGAATGTTATACATACTAAGTTATAGATCTAAGTGTAATAGAATACCTTTATTTTTGTTAATATATACTAAATGAATTATTTTATTATACCAAAATTTTATGTACATTCCCTTTAAATTAAACCGTTTACGCTGTGGTTTACACCAAACGAACAATTGGCGTAGATAATCACTTAGGTATCTACTACGTAGATTTTTGTATGGCGTTTGCTATAAATATTTATCTATGTCTGGAGTAAATTATTTTGTCGGTGAATTTAATGTTTTCTGAAACGTTTTTGAATAAAAACTACGATCCTAATCATTTACAGTTGATACCAAAGGAAAATTCATCTAATAATTAAAAAAAACAAAACATTTTTTATTTACAATTGCAACTTACGTCTTGTGGCGGCAGATAGATGCTGGGCACTTGTTCCCCGACCAGGTCGAGACTCTTGCAGAGAAACCGGTCCAGTTGGTGTATCGGTGTCTCCAACAACAATACCGCCGGGAGGGCCAGCTGAGCGCCCACCGCCAACGACCGCTCACCCAGGTTCAGGTACCATCGGAATAGAGGATTGGAGTCCTGTTACAAACTTAGTCATTAAGTATACTTTCTTCCTTCACTAAATTATATCTTCTATCATAGATTTTAATTTTTGTATCTACCAAAGCTTGTCCTAAGATAGATGCAGCAGATACGAGGGTATATTCCTAAAACAATCGGAGATAGACAAATGCACAGACATATAGCGAATAATCGTATAGGGGTCGTTTAATTTCCTTTTGCGGTAGTACAGAATCTCAAAAGATTAAAGTTACATACAAGAAGAAAATTATTATGTCCTTAAATTGTCAAGGTAATTTAGAAAATTGTCTTGATTCGATATCCACACTGAGAAAAGTGCCATCAAACATTTGTACGTAATTTTTAATGTCTGTTTATTTGGACTTTCTTTAGTAAGAAGTTTACATCTGGAATAGTTGTTTTGTTTAAATGAGTTCGGACTTTGGATGCTGTACTAAAAATAGCGGCGTGATAAATGTAGAAGTAAATAAAAATATGACGGACAAACAAAATTTTAGGTAATCAGGTAATAATTATTAAATTCATACAACCTACGAAAGCGTTTAATTTTTTCCTCATAGAATTTAATTTAGTTCCTTAAGACCCATTAGTTTTATTCTAGCTATTTCAAACACTTATATGTTACATATTTTATCTAATTTGTTGATTTAATAAAACGCCTCATAATTTCAATTTAAAAATATCTGTTTTAAGCACTATGCATATAAAAGTTCTCTTTGGAGCAAATTTATCGAACTATCAAATTTGAAAGGAAACAGTTTTTCCAATAGTTTCTATTGTTACAAGAACTGAAACACACTTCCTTTTGCTAGCGTATAACCGAAAAAATACCTTATTTGCTAAATAAAAATAAAACCTGGGCCCCAAGTCAGTTCCCGGAAGAACACAATAGAATTTATTACTTACTTTGATCTTGTGATAAATTTTCTCAGTAACTTCGATCCCGGAACCGACGATGGGCAGGGCGGCTACTCTCGACACCGCCTCTAATTTTATCGTGGGTTTTTTTTCTGCGACAGTCACTGCAACAATATAAGTTGAATTGATATCTTCAATTGGAGAATATTATTTTTTAAACGTATTGGAATTTTAGCGCCTATTACCTTCCACGTCTAAAATAAGTCCCAAATGATCAATGGGGTCTTAAAACATTGATCTAAGGAAAGAGAAAAGGGTTTATGACACTTGATAGTAATTCAGGGATTGAACTAACAATCCAAAATTTATAGATAACGTTTTTTATAAAGTATTTATTACCACTATCGTATTACAAGTAAAATAAACAAAAGACTGATCACATTTGAGGCGTTAGGAAGTCCTTTAGTGTTATAAAGTAATAATTAGTGCTGATGATATTAATTCCGTCGTTATAATTTAAATCGAGACGTCCATGAACATTTAGAAGAAAAATAAGACATTTTTAACATTTACTATAACCTATGATTAATATTCCAATATCTATAAGATTAATTTAGAGTTGCATATTGTATTTTTACCACCACCGTACCAAGGTGATCAGCGCCATCAATTTTGATTATCATCATAATTATCACCACCATCACCAGTATCGTCACCATTATCGTTAGCATCGTCATCATCACCACAATCGTAATCATCGTTAAAACCATCGACATCATCACTATCATCATCATCACCATTACTAATATCGTCATCATCAACATCAAACCAATTGTTGTCATCATCATCGTTACCATTATCATCGCAGTTGTTATCATTAGCATTATCACTTCCATTTTAGAATATTATCAGTATATGATAATATGGATTATTTCAACGATAATACGATACGAACAACTTCTACTTGGCAAGACTATTTACACTATGAAATGTTAAGAAACTTAATATTGTCATATAATCTGTTAAATAATTTATTATATGAATATAATAAAACTGTAAGTACTGGAGAAAGTATACTTCGCCTTAGGTATCAATCAGCGAAGTATATAAATAACTATTTTCACTATCGTACTGTGTTATCGGAGGTGCACTGGTGTTATGATGAATGTGCGCACATAATTCTATTCTAGATGACTTTGTGACAGACATACCTACGTACTTATCAATATAATTGAATTTTTATAGAACAAAATATAAAATATGCAGTTTATCTATTTCTCATACTATTCTTTGATTACTTATATCGATTTTTATCAGATTTCCGATACGATAGCAGACAATTTGCGATAAGTTGAATGTCACATTTATTAATTTCAACGCCACTAGGTGGCATTGGTGTTTGAATTTGAAGTATTTTGTTATTTTTAATAATGAAAATATTCTTTTGGGATGATTATTTCTCATTACACTGAATACATTGAAATATAAAATTATTTAATTTTAGTTTTGAAATTACCTTCGTTGTCATCCATTTAAAATTAAAATCATCAAAGTAGCAGAACAACGCCATATATCGGTGGGTAAAAATAATATCAGGTTGATATTACACTTCAATTTTGATAGCATTATCAATAAAAAAATCTGTGATTTAGGCGTTCGAAGAAATTGAATTACCTATATAAATATTTAGAGTTACTTATAATTTCCTTAACCGCTCCGTCTCGTATACTAGAAATTAAATCGTACCTTTATGTGGACGTTGACTTTGGCTAACAGCTTGCAGATAGGCTTCAGCTTTTTTTGCTATAGAACCTTTAGCTCTCTTATTCAAGCCTAGCGTGCATGTTCCGTTAAATGATTTTTTGTACACATCACCGTTATCCGCCATTTTGCTAATTACCGTTATTTTGGCGCGATATTCAAAAGACATAAGAGTTCTAAACTTTTTTCTATTTCCAAGACTTAATATTGTTTTTTTTTTTTGTTATTATAATAGTTATTTTGTTATTAAATTTTTGTTATTAAATAGTTTTGTTAATGTCACTGCACTCGATGTTAACCGTATTTAGCCTGTACGTAGACTGTTTAATTTGTTCAATATTTATTGGATATTGCAAAGGTTATCTGCTAGTTTAAAATTAACCTCTGTGTCGGAATCTTGTAATTATGTCATCATCGCCTTAATTAGGAATGACATGTCTACCTCGAATGTGTTTCCTAAAGTTCTCAAAAATTCTGTTTCAGTTTCGATTTGATTACTCATTACACAGATGAAAACTACTTCAAGTTCAACAAACGCATTTTATATGTATTGTATGTGCGTATTATATGCAGATATCTCTAAGAGTGTTATTTTCGTTACTTTTTGTAAATTTATGAAACCTTTGAAAAATCTATCTATATCTCTTGCGTGGTAGACAGTGAGAATCTTAGATACATACCAAAACCACTCTGGTCCCGAACAAGTCATTTTGTATAACCGGATGTCTGCTCTTCCAATTCTCAAGGTTACCGATAGCTAATTAGCTGGTACCGGTTCCCCGATAAACTAAAGGTATCGATCCCGAATAATCGATTCCAAAACGATATTCCGGAGACAAAAATTCGTGTAATTATTTTTTCGAGTGAAAGTGTAGCATATGTTTATTTTTCATGCGTACAAGTAACTGCTCGAAAAAAAGATTACTGAATTACCAAAAAAGAAGCTGATCCAGGTATAAGATGCTTAGGGACAATTATTCGAAAATCAACGCATTCAGATATCCAAATCTTGTAGGTATAACACGAATCATTCTAGGAAGTATAATACTCGTAGTATTAATTTTAAATATTTCCACTGTTTGTTTATATTATTTAACAAGAGGTATCCGACCTTCAGCATCGTATATCTATCCCGGATCCTGGTGCTTCTTCGATATCTTTAATATATTATCTGTATCATGAAACAGTGAGTCATGACGATGGCGGTATCTCAGTGGGTGAGTATTAATAAGCCGAGCCACATTTTAGCGTGTTTTCAATGAGATTTAAACCGCAACTTAGCGTAGGTTTTGGTTTGCCTCAAGGAAGATATTAACGGGAATAAAATATCTTGTGCATTTATTTAAAATATCTATTTTTTGGGAAGTCATTAAATCACTGGTAAGACAGTAATATATCTAAATAGTAATATATCTCGTGTATTTATATTTTCGTCAAACAGAAAAGCGACGCCAAATAATTAAGATTTTTTTTTGTTTTTTTTAAATACACGTGTTTTGGTTGTAAGAGGGAGGGGGTAGTCTTAAACCTCACGGGGATGGGGGGGGAATGGTTGAAAAAAACATCACGTTATTAATGGACGGCCCCTTAGGTTTAAGTTTAATTAATTTTAAATTGGTTCTCAGTGATCTCGGATTTTCGTTTTGCTTTTAGGCTGCATGTACTGTGCTTGTGTTGTATTAAAACATGGGGCATAATGAGACAGTTTTAGTTAACATTTGCGATAACGGTTATCATTAGAGCTAAAGATAACTATGAAATGAGTAGACTTTAATGAAATATGTATTACGTAAGAGAATTATGAGAATGTTTCTCAATCATTTATAATGTTGCTATAAAAACTTTGGGAGGTTCTGGATAACGCAGTAGCTGATGCATTCGATTCGTAATGGCCACGTTGGGAGACTATAGAAATTTATTATCACGAGCTCCTCTATGCTTCTTAAAGCACGGCGAGCGGTTGGTAGCACCCACCGAACCGCACTTGACCCGTGTGATGGGGTTATGAATGTCCGTGTGTGATTCTATCTGCTGAGTCGAGGAAAGTCAGGGCATGTAGTCAACATTGTTGAGGATCTTATAAAAGCGATTTAATTATAGAAATTTGTATGCAAAGTTGTTTATATAAAAAAGCTACTTCTTCTTATGACGAGTAAAGTTAGTATTTGGTTTAAACCATTGACCGGTTAAAGCAAATTGACAATGACAGAAGAGAAAACGTCAAATTGAGAAATGTTAATTTTAGTAGGATAATAGTGTAAATCTACTAAAGTTACTCGTCGTTTTATAATAAGGTACTGGGAGTTTATTTTAAATTCGGTTAAATTGCGATCGTGAACAGTCGAGACACCGCGCCCTGGGACCAGACCTTAGGGATATTAATAGACTGATAACGACAAAACCATTTCTGGCCCGTGGAACACCAAAGTGGTTCACCTTGGTGTTCTACGGTTAACTTTTTGTACCCCTGATTCACCTAGGTGTTCTGCTATTCAAAATAATGTACCCGTAGTTCACCTATCTAATGAAATACAAGTAATCCTAAATAATTCAAAAACTAAATGTTAAAATTGATAAAATTAGATTTTCAGGGCAAAACAATAAAGAAATCTGTGTTGGTAATGTAACAATTTAATAAGACACAGAAAATAGACTTTACTTCAGATGTGAATATTCTACTTTTAATTATAAAAAATTAAAAAAAAACGCTTAATTAACAACTTAGTTTTTCTAATGCACTCTCTATAGTGATTTCCTTATTGTCTAATTGCATTTGTATGTTGAGTATATAGTTATCATTTTCGAGAAATATTTTTCTTTTTTCAATAGGAATTTTATCAGCATGAGCAACTGATAAACTTTTTTCTAAAAAATATTAGTCTTAATAATGTCACTGTGTTTTTGTTTAGCGCTCGGTTTAGTTTGGCATTGAAGCCCTCGGTGACATTATTGGTACGGTGATGCTGCACTTGATGTTTTTATTATATATTCTTTTGACCAAAAATCATTTATATACTTTATAAATTTTGACATCTAAATATTGTACGGTCACATTCAGAAACTATATATTTCCAGCCATCTAAATTAAATTCTTCCGGAAGTAATGGTAGAACTGCCATCAACGCAATAATTCGCTTTTGAGGTTTTGATTTAAGATACCAAAGTTTCATCTTTTTCAGAATTCGACCAATGATAATAGCAGCCTATAATCATTTGGGAACATAGATGTTATGGCTTTTAATGCTCCAATTTCAAAATCTACGTGAAATTGCTGAGGATTCCATACAGGTAATTGACTTTTAATAAATCGAATAAAATAGAGAAGGCTTTTTCTTTTTTGTCCGGCAATAACGCAAATATTAGAGGTATTACCTTCGTAGCAGTAATGGAACTTCCCACTTCGCCACAAATAATATAAAGTTGGTAAAAAGGCTAGGAGCAACTTTTGAAAGTGTCATCACCAATATATTAATTGGATCTATAAAAGATAATAAATCTTTTATATATCCAATTAATGATCTTGCTTTTTGTGAACAAAAAATAAGTAAAAAATAAGAATCGTCACTGTAGTACTTGACTAATAGGAAAATAAAAAAATTGGCTGGTAGTTCCACTTCCATGAAGTTTCTTTTTCTGCTCTGTTTCTCGCTCTATACAAACTGTGTTTCACGCTATCCAAATTGGGTACATTAGTTACATACAAAATCCAAGCCTGAATTTTAAATTCTAGTAACCGTTTCTTCAAACAATCTAGGAATAGGTAAGTCTGAATTTATTACGTTATTCTATAAATTTGCAATTTCTATATCTAATATTTTAATTGTAATCCTGTGCACAAGTATGCTGCTCTATTTTACATATTTCGTTCCCCTGAAAATATAAATAAGTAAGATATAATAAAATGATGCGAAGGCAAACCACCACAAATATAAAAAATAAATATTTAACAACATCATATACATTCATCTGAATCTGAGTTAAGTAAGTAACTTACGCACATGTGTTACAGAAATCAGAAACGACGACGGAAATCACAAATATACACTTTAATATTCACACTCAGAAATGGAATAAAGATTACATAAATCTAGGGCGAAAATCTAACCTCGACCTCCGTTGTAGAACCATTGCGCTAAGATGTCCGTCGAAACAAGTCCATAAAATAAATCCAATTTACTCTAATCACGATATTTCCTTTACATTTTTTCTTATATATTGAACACCTCCACAATTGTGATCCATTTCTATAGTCGTTATGTTTATGGTATTGTTTCCCCGCATGTTAAACAAACCAACCTTTTCTATTAATAAAAATATGTAGCTCGTATCGTTTGCCAGACATGCTTTTTTAATTAATAATATAATATAATGTTTTATTGCATAAAGATGACAGACAATCTAAACTTTACGCTTAAGCTGACACAACAAGGAAAACATTCGAAGTGGCCAGTACATAAGAAGAGGACGGAAGGATGGAAGGTAAATAGATTTTAAAGTACAGCCAGTCAACGGTCTCGATTTCCATCATCTTCATACACTCGAAGAAAGTTTCAAACGGCATTTTTGGTTGCGTAGAAATAATCCAAGAGAATTTTATATTTAGAGGTGCAAAAAGTTAGCCGTAGAACTAGATCAACCAGGAGTACCTTCAGAAAATCTACACCTAGGTGAACCAGGGGTTAAAAAAAGTTAACCGTGGAACATCTAGGTGAACCACTTTGGTGTTCCACGGGTCAGAAATGCGGATAACAGCCTATTAAAGTCCCTATTACTGGAGCACGAGGTTTCTTATTAGATGAAATACACCACATAACCAACCACATAGACTCAGTGCGAATTAGTGGGTAACGATAGAGAATAAATACGGAATAATTCACTTTAGACCGTATAGAGCATAGAGAGTAAGTACCCGACACAAGCACGACACTTAGCCGCGAGACCTGACACAATCTAATCAATCTATCCTTTAGCGAAGTACGGATAAATTCTAGATAATTATTTTTGGTTGCAAGCGACGTTGCGATGTGTATTGATCTTCTTAAGGCACCAAAACTTTTCTTTCCGTTGTTTTCCAAACGAATTATTCATCATACAAAGACTGTTTTTTTACAGACACGTTATTTTTTTACGGTCTAGTTTGTTTAGTGCTAGCCAAGCGTTTGTGAAAGTCTAATCGATAAAGTAGTAGTAGTATTTTACGGTTCATATATCTACAACTATTTATGAATTCTACTAAGTACCTACAACTGCTATAAAGAACTGGTAAGGTGGGTAAGAAAATCGAACTCAACACAAGCTGTTTTTTTTAATGAATATTATATTAAATATCAAAAGAAAATTAGTTAAATATTAATTTAGTATGCGGCAGTGAACTATTGTGCCCTGGCACAGATAATGTCGATACCTACCTATGACAGTAAATATCGTAACTCGGTTAGCATTTACATAATGGACACTTACTTTTCTATAAGAACGTGAGACTAACATTATAAAAACACTGCACATTTCCATATAACACTGTAGCAACTTATAAAATGTTAAATTGCTACAGTGTAATAATAAAAGTAATCAAATTGACCGGGCAATATTCCAGATTTTACATACAGAGATTTTATTGAGGTCAATTTTATTTCAATATTATAATCAATCAGCTCAGGCTTAGGATAAGCGATGTTACATATTTTTTATATATAGGTATAATTTATATCATACTTAATTGAAAAGTGGAAATAGTGTTAAGTAGGCCCTACAGGTCACGTCACGTGATAGGTTAGAAAATTAAGACGATCGCGAAGCGTAGCGTAGCATTTTGTTAACCCTAAGAACGAGAGTGCATAGTGCTTTTCTCGGTTGTTCCATCGAACGCTGCGTTGTATTATATTTAATACACATAAAATAAAAAGTAAATTTGCCCTTTACCCTCAAAAATAGAACTTTTTGGATGCAAAGAGGGATTTTTATGTTATATCTTGTTGTTTTGGTTGTTTTTAAGTTAAGCATTAGTGTTTAATTTACTCTATATAATAATATTATGTTCCAACCGTCATCTAAAACATTTCTACTGAAACTATAAGTTACCTCCATGTTACTGGAAAGGGCAAATTTACTTTTTATTTTATTTTTTGCATTAATTCTCAATTACTAATTGATATCATTCACTTCATAAGTTAAAATCTAAAGAATAGTCAAATTAACTTCCTGTAAATCGATAACCTTATAACATACGTGGGTGACAAAGGCATACATAATTAACGCAGGCGAAGTTGCGGGAAAACAACTAGTTTGTAATACAATTATAAATTCATCAAAAGATGTTTTACGTATATTTTTTTAACTTGCAAATTTCATTAAAATATAATTGCTCTGTTGATTACGTTAATGTCAAGAAATAATATTATACATTACGATTGAAACTTTTGTTTAATTTAAATTTAATCTCAGACGTTTATTTATAAACCTGTGCTTTCATAATTGCGTCTTTTTTGGACAAAATCTAATATGCTTGTCTATAACAATTTATTGTATCAGTACGTAGGTAGTAACAAAAAAATTAAAAAATAAGTTAAAAAATCCGTGAATAGAATTATATTTTTGATTTTATTCAACTAACTTTAAAGAAAAAATACCTCTTAGAAGTGTAGTTCTTAAAAAAACATATAAAACATAACCAGCAATTTAATATTTTGATAGATTTGACTAATATAGCAAATGTAATTTCAAAACTCTATGAGCAAAATATCGATTAAAATATCGATCCAATAAAGTAATCGTGGGTAGGTTAAAAATACATTAAAAATGATGCTATTTAAAAACACGGAATACATGCACATAAGGATACTGTCACTTTAACAATTCATTAAGTCTTACATTTATAAAATGTGAATTATAAAATACTATAAACAATCCCAGAATAAAAATATAAGAAATTACACAACTGACGTATATTACACTGGAAATAAAAAAAAAATCTTAGTTGTATTTCATTATAAAACAGTATTGAATCGATAATATCAGTATCTGTTTTAAAACAATAACATGGTTAGTACTCACTTGTGATAAGGGTGCGTTTATATGGATGTGCGTTCGCAGACTGAACCTCTGACACGAGACGACCGCGCCGGCAGCGCTTGCGCACAAACACGTGAACTGCAGAAGGTCAACTTCGATATTTTCTTTTGTGTCCCACACCAAAACACAACATATCAAAAGAAAGTTTTGAACTATTTTAAACGCTTATACATTTTATTATTATATGAGATTAACACCCGGTTTCTGTATTGAGTATTTAAAGTTAAGCACATTTCAAACTGTACTGAAACAGGTTTTAGTTATTTTTAATGACCAGTTGGTAGCAGTTTGATAAAACTAGGACTTTTTAACTTTTGAAACTTAAAAAAAAAACTATTTTTTTGAGAATAACTGGTTGGGATTTTGTACATACTTTTTTCAATTCAGAAACCGGCTGTTAGTTGCTTATAGGATATTTTATATAAACAATTTAGGTACAGTTGCACTGGTAGTAGTTGTTATTAGTAACTTATATAACTTTATTTCTTTGTAAGAATATTTCGTAAGCTACGTTAAAACGTCATAAAACATGAAGCTTTATTAAAACAGGAAGTAACATGAAAGACCAGCTTTGTTATTTTATTAAAAAAAGATCATCGAACACAGCGCACACCGCACTATTATCAGAACAGCTTTATAATAAAAATACAAGGAATATGACTAAGTTAAATCAAATTTTATTGGGAACATTATAGCCAATCATTTCGACAAGTTGTTACAAAACGTTTGATTTCCTTAATTAATTTTGAACTTGACTAACAACTGAGCTGAACATTGACAAATAATCCCAATTTCCATCATGCAAGAAGATATTATACATAAATTACCACCTGTTGTGTTTTTATTCACACGTTGAGCACAATCACAAAGATTTTTTTTAAATAACACAATTTAACATACGTTTAGAAGAATAACTTTTGGTCTAGAATTTTACACATAAACCTTATAAGTTATTTAGGCACGCATCGTATATGTACATATATTAGAGGAATAATTTGGTACATGTCTTATATGCATTGCTGTATGTATTTAAACTGTGACGCATCCTCCGGTAACGTGCACGGCGGACTTTGGGTTTGTTTACCTACAAACACGATTATCTGCCGTGCAGTGGCAGAATACGAGTATCACAAATCAGGGGGCCTATTCTGCAATGAAGACAAATAATGGTTTCGTTACGACAGGACTGCATAAATGTTTTTGAACTCAAAGTTATGTATAATAATAAATAACATACATAACAGCTTTCTGTCTGTTCTTTTCGCTCCCAGGCGATGTTTAGGATTCCCTAATTTAAAATGTCATAAGTACCAATATTTTTCTATTATTTTCATTCGAAATTAAAAAAAAATTATCAGCTGTTTAGAATGCCTTATTTTTTCGTGCTGATTATAATTTACAACTCAATGAATTAATTTTGAAGTTGTAATTTTAACATTTTTAACAGTTATACCTAATCATGTCTTCTTAATGGTACCTTAAAAACCGTTGTAAAAGTGAGATACAGCTACGTGCATGCATACATCCTGCTTCGATAGGCCATGTCACGGCCTATCGATAACCTTCGACACTCGTCTTCTTCAATTTCTTTTAAGCGTTTTTAAGACCAGTAAAACACGTTTAATACGGTTTACAGCAGTGTGTTGTTAAGAATATAGTGTTGATCGCAGCGTTGAACACAGAGCTGTCACAACATGAGAGGTTCTATAAAAAAAAAAACAATTTCCAAGTGTAATAAAAGTTATATTTATTTGAATATTAATGCTGCGTACGATAACGCGGTGCTCGACGTTGCGATCGACGCCTATTGTCCTGGTGCTAGCGTCGGGATCAACGAAACTTGGCGCCCTTGAAACGATACCCATAACAATCGCAACAAAATCAAAGACACCGATTAAAGAGTGTAATTTTGCTAATCACAAAAGAAACTCCTTCTGGTTTGTTTTTGTGCTATTGAAAACCGTGGACATGGACTCAAGAGCAACGAACAATAGTCATTTTTTAAGGTACTGCATATTTAAGGTTCAAATAATTAGAGCAGTTTTCCCTCAAATACGTCTTAACGTGATACCTAGTGTAACGTTAACTAGTCTGTGTCCATATAGATATATTTGTCATTAAAAGGTTGGTCTGTGTTACTATAATAAAAACCGCTTACTATTTTCAAAACTTACGTTTTATTAAATAAAAACCTAACGTCACATGGTGTCAGAATGGGATAATTACGTGATGCAATAAAGAAAATACGTAAGAAAGTTGTAAAATGACGACGAACACAAACGACGCAGTATCTGGTATAAAGCCGCCAAATAACCTACAAATTGACTTGGACAAATCAACGAGCTGGAAAAAGTGGTTACAACAGTTTGAATGGTATGCTACAGCTATTCAATTAGATAAGAAGCCAGCCGAAGTTCAAGCAGCGACATTTATGGCAATAATAGGCCCAGACGCTATTGAAATTTACAATAGTTTCAATCTTAGTGTTACGGAAAAAAACAACCTACAATTAATTAAAGATAAGTTCAAAGATTATTTTGCACCAAAGACCAATATATCTTTCGAAAGATACATATTTTTCAAGATTGAACAAAACGAAGATGAGAGATTTAATGAGTTTTTGACCAGAATAAAAACTCAAGCAAGTAAATGTGAATTTGACAACTTACTTGATGAAATGTTGAAAGACAAAATAGTATTCGGAATTAGATCGAATCAAATAAGAGAAAAATTATTAACAGAAGTCAAATTAGATCTTACAAAAGCCATTGCTATTTGCAAGACTAGTGAACAAGCGTCAAAACAACTAGATGAGTTTGAAGATAAAAGTAAAACAAATAAAGTTTTAGTGGTGAAAAATAAAAGTTCATTAAATAAGCAAAACAAGAATTTTGACTGTAAAAGATGTGGTACAAACCATAAAAGTAGAGAATGCCCAGCGTTCAATAAACCATGTACCAAATGTCATAAAAATGGTCACTTTGCCAAAATGTGCCACACTAACAAAAAATTTAATAATAAACATAAAAATAAATAAATATGTTAGAAGAAAACTCTGATTCTGAAGATGATATATATGTATCTACTATCAGTGCTGGTGAAAATAAAAATTGGACTGAAAGAATAAAAGTTGGCAATGTGAATTTTAACATAAAATTAGACACAGGTGCAGAATGCAATGTTTTACCAATGTACATATTAAACAAAATAAAAGCAGTTCTTAAACCTAGCCGAACAAGAAATCTGATTAGTTACACAGAAGATACGATGAAAGTTCTAGGTGAGACAAAATTATTATGCAAAATAAAAAACAAGGAAACAGACATTATTTTCAAGGTAGTTGCAGAAAAAGTAACACCAATCTTAGGACTTAGTACATGTGAAAACTTAGAACTTATCGCTAGAGTTAAGACATTAAAAGAAAGTCAATATAATGACATATTTGAAGGCTTAGGCTGTTATAGAGGTTATGAGTATGACATTGACCTTATTGAGAATCCAAAATTTGATATCAAATCATCAAGACGAATACCACATGCAATAAGATATGAGGTTAAAAAAGAACTTGACAGAATGGTGAAATTAGATGTCATCAAACCGGAAACAGAGCCGACACCTGCTGTGAGTCCTATGGTTGTTGTAAGACAAAAAGGAAAAATAAGAATCTGCATAGATCCAATTGATGTGAACAAAAATATTCTGAGACGTCACTTCCCACTCACAAGTATAGAAGAGATCTCAGCAGACATTAAAGGTTCCAAATTCTTTGCATTGCTAGACTGTACAAAAGGATTTTGGCAAATAAGGCTATCTGAGAGGACACAAAAAATATTAACCTTTGCTACCCCATGGGGAAGATATTCTTTTAAAAGACTCCCTTTTGGTGTTTCATCCGCACCTGAAATCTTTCAAGAAATTTTGACAAACTTGCTCAGTAAATTCAAAAATGTGAAAGTGGCAATCGATGACATATTTTTACATGCAAAGACAAAAGAAGAACTCCGAAAAACAGTTAATGAAGTTATTAACACATTAAAAGTGTCAGGTTTCACACTCAATAAAGACAAATGTATTTTTGAAGCAAAAAGAATAAAATTTCTAGGTCATATTGTGTCAGCTAATGGATTAGAAGCAGATCCAGAAAAGGTCCAAGCCATACAAGCTATGAGAACACCATCAAATAAAACAGAGCTACAGAGACTACTAGGTATGATTACCTACCTAAATAAGTTTATTCCCAACATGTCAGACCTAACAAATCCACTAAGAGAGTTGTTGAACAAAAATACAAATTTCATTTGGGAAATTCATCATGATGAAGCTCTCAACAAAATAAAAGAAGTACTACAGACCCCTCCAGTACTAAGGCTATATGATGTTAACAAACCTGTAACTTTAACCGTAGATGCCAGTTCTAAAAATCTTGGGGCTGCACTTCTCCAAGAAGGACAACCAATTGCCTATGGAGCAAGAGCCTTGACAAAATCTGAACAGAATTATCCACAAATCGAGAAAGAAGCTCTCGCTATACTGTTTGGATGCAAGAAGTTCCATGAATATGTTTATGGAAAAGAACTAACAGTTGAGTCAGACCACAAACCTCTTGAAACAATTTTTAAGAAAAATATACAATCTGCTCCAGCAAGGTTACAACGCATAATGTTTAATCTTGCACAATATTCACCAAAAGTCATATTCAAAAAGGGTACAGAAATACCCTTGGCCGATTTTCTTAGCCGAGACTGTGATGCACCCAACCTAAAACATGAAGAAGAAGAAAATTTGAAAGTTGCCGTAATACTACCAATGTCATTAGATGCTAAAGAAGAGTTGATTAAAGCCACAAAAGATGATCCACATTTACAGTTACTAATTGAAAAAATAAAGCAAGGATTTCCAGAAAAAGTCAATGACCTTCCTACAGAATTACAACATTATTTTAACTTCAAAGAAGAGTTAAGTTATCTCAAAGGTATAATTTTCAAAGGTGACAAAATAGTAATTCCAAAATCACAAATCTCTAAAA